GCACTGGGCGTGGTGCGCTGGTATTCCTCCGCTGTGGGCTGAGCCCCTTGTGGTTGGTGCGGAGTAAAGACCTTGGTGATGGTGGATCGCCCTCCGCTCCGCAATGGAGGTGGCGGGGCAGGCGGTGGCACCGTGCTTGTCGAGCGCACTGGAGTGGCCTGGTAGTCACTGGGGCTCTGTGGAGTCGTCGTGGTCACCCAGGAGTGGCTCTTGATCTGTGCCACATGCTCCTCTGCAGGTGGAATCAGCAAAATTGTCTCCGCCGTGGTTGTCTGCACCAGTGGCGGAGGTCGCAGCAAGGTCACAGACTGCGCCTCCAAATCATCATCATCGTAGTGCGAGTCCAGTTGCTCCTGCTCGCTGCTCGAGGAGGAATCGTTTACAATTGTAGGCTCAGGGGTGGTGGTGGTGGTGGTGGTAGTCCTAACAGTGGTTGTTGTGGCCCTCGTTGTGGTTGTGGGTCGCGTGGTCGCTCCTCTTGTGCTTTGGACAAGCGGAACTATGGTGGTCACATCGGGCGTCATCTCCGTGACATCATATGTGGCCGATTCGACACTCTCCACACTATTGGGGGTGGGTCTAGGGCGAGGATATACGGAAATGGGCATAAAGTTACGCTCGGCCTTGGCCTGAGCCGGCTCCGGATTCTTTCCTGTGACGTTAACAGCCTCCACCAGACCGCGACGCTGCTGCGGGTCATGGACGGGCATGAAGCCACCCACATGGGCCGGCACAATGGGGCGGAAGCCTCCGCGTTCGATGCTCGACGGTTCCCGGAAGGTTGTGCGAAAAACTCCGACTGTTGTGGCCGACCCGCCGCTCTCATTGCTCAGTGTCTCCTCGGCCGAGTTGGTGGTGGTGTCCACTTCCATGTAGCGGTTTCTGGCCACATTCTGCTGCTGCTGCTGCTCCTTCAAGTACTTTTCGAACTCTGCGCTGTTGGGCTGATACATCCGCGTCTTGCCCCGACCGCTGGGCAGGTTAATGCTGGCCATGCGATGCGTGGCCGGCATCTCATCGTTCCCATCCGTTCTCTGCTTGCGGCCGCGATCCCCAAATCCAAAGAACCGGCCCAGACTCACACTGGGAATGGGATAGCCAAAGAAGGTGAAGGGAGAGCCGCCTCCGGCGGCTCCAGCCCCCGGCTGTGGACGTCTGTTGAAGTATTTGGTGTGGAGCAGTGTGTTGTTCAGGTCGATGTTGCTGTTGAGCGTGGGAACGGGCTTCGGGCGCTGCGAGGTGCTCAGCACTGTGTTGGCCGCGTCCGGCGGATCTGTGGAGTCCACATACTGATCGTAGAAGTACTCGCTCTCACCCACCATGGGTCGGTCGCCAGGCTGCCTCGTGGCCTCGAACACCTCACACTCGTCGGTGAAGTCATCGGGCAGGTCCCGCTGGAAGACATCGCCGTGTTCGTTGAGCAGCGGCAGATGATTGGCCTCTGTCCGTTCATTATTGTTAAAGACATCCACGCCCGCACACAAGCTCCGTTCCATGCGGGCGGCCCTCAGGAGACGTCCATCCTGGCACTTGGGCCCGGGATACGGGAAGTTTGTTTCCTGCAGCCAAACCGAAAGCCACTGCATCTCACAGTTGCAGTCAATGGGATTGCCTGGAGTGGGATATAGTAGGGGTTTTCATTTGGTTTTTGGCTGTTTGTTAGACTAGGTCTTACCATCCACATCCAAGATGGCTATGTTCCCTCTGAGATTCCGGAAGGTGCGCTCCTTGATGCTTCTCAGCTGATTGTTTCGCATCGAGAGGACCCGCAGCCTGGGCATAGTCTCAAAAGGAGCACCCTGGAAGAGTACAACAAAACATATATAGAGGGCATATAGGAATTAAGGGTGAAGAAGTCCCACCTGTATCCGACATATCTGATTGTTATCCATTTTCAGTTCCACCAACCAATTGAGAGCCTTCAGTGGCATTGTCGAGACCAGTTTGACCCCATTGGTGGACAAGTCCAGGACCTCCAGATTGCGCATGCTGCGCAGACCAATGTTCTCCATATTCCTGAAGTGATTGTTGGACAGGTTCAGGAACACCAGGGAGTTGGCATTGTGGAAGCTCTCCGGGGAGATGTAGCGCAGCTTGTTGTACTGGAAATGGGAGGCCAGCAGACTGGGGAGCTCCTCGAAGACATGATCCTTCAGCTCCACCAGCTTGTTGTCTGCGAGGACGAACTCCTGCAGTTCATCGAGACCCTTGAGGGCACCTGGCTCGACATTCCTGATCTCATTGCTGCTCAAATCCAGATACTGCAGTTTCGGCAGGTTCCGGAAGGTGCCCTGCTGCAGTTCCACGATCAGATTGTTGGACAAACGAATCTCGACGACGTTGCGCCAGCCCCCAATGACATCGGACTGGACACGCGAGATCTGATTGTAGCTCAGGTCGATGTCCCGAAGGCTGTGCAGGTTACCCAGGCCCACCGATATGTCCAGCAGGCCGTTGCCGGACAGGTCGAGATACTCAAGAGATCTCTGCGTATCGAAGGCCGTCGGGGAGATGCTGCGTATCAGGTTGCGGGACAGATCCAGCTGCTCCAGGCGACTGTTGTTCGAGAAGAAGTTGTCGGTGATGGCCTCCAGTTTGTTCGACTGCAGGTTGAGGTTCCGCAGCTCCGCCAGGGGCAACAGAGCCCGCTCGTCGGCCTCCCCCAGCTGGTTCTCCTGCAGATGAAGCAACTCCAGCCGCTGGATGCCTATAAAGGAGGTGTCCTCCAGCTGGCGCAGCTGGTTCTGGGCCAGGCTCAAGACCCGCAACTGGGCGGCGCCCTCGAAGCCGTGCCTGGGCAGCTGCTCGATGCGGTTCTGGCTGAGATCGAGCATGCGCAGGTTGGGCAGCTGCAGGGACTTGCTGGCCGCAGCGGGCAGAGATCCGATCTCGTTGCCCTTCAGGGAGATGCGTTCCACAATGCGTGGCAGGCCCGCGATCACTGCTGTCAGCTGGTTAAAGCTGGCATCGACCTCGAACAGCCGTTCCAGGTGCAGCAACGTGGAAGAGTGAATCTTTGACAGCCCATTGGAAGATATATTGAGGGTTTCCAGCAATGGATTGTGCCGGAAACTGTTCGGAGCCACCTCCCTCAGTCCATTCTCGCTAAGATCGAGCCGCCGCAGCGAAGGCAGTCCCGCCAGCAGCTGGGAATCCACTCGCACAAACTGATTCTGAGCCAGGTCCAGGCCCTTGAGGCCAGGCAGATTCCAGAACGGCAGCGGCAGATCGGAGGACAGACTGTTGTTGCGCATGCGCAGCTCTCGCAGGGCGGGCATGGCCATCAGGGCGTCCCGCTCAATCAGCCTCAGCTGGTTGTTGTTCAGATGCAGCTGCTCCAAGGTGCCGTGACCCCGCAGCGCGCCATAGGGCAGATCACTCAACAGGTTGCCGCTCATGTCGAGGTAGCGCAGCGTGGGCAGGGCGTCGAGCAGAGCCCTCAAGGCCTCCACATGGCCAATCTCATTGTTGTAGATGTGGACGGCCTCGACGCCACTGCCACTGGCCTGGAGCAGCGACTCCGGATGTATGCGCCGGATGAGGTTGTTCTGCAGATAGATTGTCTTCAGCTGGGGCGTGCGCAGGAAGGCGCCGTACTGCAGCTCGGTGATGCGATTGTCGTTCAGATGCAGCTCCGACAGATTGGGCAGATCCACAAACGACCCGTCTTCGATGACATTGATGATGTTGTGATCCAATCTGAGCTTCTTCAGGTGCTCCAAGTCCTTGACAATGCGCCCGATCATGCCCACATCGCTGATCTGATTGTGGGACAGCTTGAGGCTGACCAAATTGGGCAATCGGGTGAGGGCCCGCAGATGGATCCAGTTGAGTCCGTTGTGCGAGAGGTCCAGGTTCTTCAGTGAGATCAGGCCATCGAACAGGCCCGCCTCCAGGCGGGTCAGACCCGATCCGCCCGTGATGTGGATGTGCTGCAGCTTGGGCAAGTGCCGGAAGATGTGGGGCGCCAGCTCCAGCAGGGATCCCGTCTGCACACTCAGGTACGTGAGGCTGAGCAGCCCCGAGAAGTCCGGCAGATGCTTCAGCTCGTCGCTCTGTATGGTTATGGCCAGCATATTGATCATGCCATTGAGACTCTCCGCGGGAATGCTGCGCAGCTGCGGCTCCACAATGAAGATCTCCACCAGGCTGTTCTCCAGCTCGTTCAGCCAGCCGTTGGACACCCGTTCAATGCTGTTGTAGCGCAGCATCAGCCGCACAATCTGCAGGTTACCAAAGAAGCGTCCCGGCAACGCCGGCAGCTGATTGTTCTCCAGCACCAGCTCATCGATTTGGCTCTTGATATTCCGCTCCACGGCCTTCAGTCCGTCCATGATTTGGGGCAGATTGCTGTGCGAGCACCTGATGAAGAAGAGTGGCACCCTTAAGCTGGATAAGGCAGTTCTCTGGTTCCACTCACCATATCTGTATCTCCTTGCCACGCAGCGAGCAGCGACAGGGCAGGATGGCCTGAGAGGGCGGACAGCTGTCGGCCCTGGTCAGGAGTGTCCCGGCACAGAGCAGCAGCAAGATCTGGAGTATCATCATGTAAACGGGCTAGCGTTAGACCATCGGCTGAGTGGGTTGCACAAACTGCAGCAGGCCAATCTGGGGCATAGCTGTGGGGCAAAGGAGAGCGATGTTAGGACCTAGGAGATTTGATCTACGAAGACCATGAAAAGAGTGGCAAAACATTCGGCATTTGTCATCGTATATCAAGGGGATTTAACAGACGGAGTAGACTGAAGTAAATATAACTTATGTTTGATAAAAGCGAAGAGTTCAACCGAACTATTGACTGGGGAATCAGACCCCCCTTGTGGTAGTTATATCAGGCTGCACTGCGCTGTAGCAGGTGCTCGCGCGGACATTCCCAGAGTCAAGAGTCTCTCTATAAATCAGGGGCACGAAAACGGTGCTCTATCAGCCGATAAGGCGGGTGGCTCGAACTATATATAGGCCTCCTCCGCGGTCAGTTGGCTAAGCAAGCCCCTGAGGTGTCTATTGATATCAGCATGGGTCCCATCGCCTACGCTTTGTTGTTCAGTCTGGCCGCTGGCCTGGTCGTCGCCGAGAAGTCCGACTACTGTCTGAGTGAGATCGTCAAGTCGGACCAGCGCATCCGATCCCACGGGTATCCGGCCGAGGCTCACGAGGTGGTCACCGAGGACGGCTATGTGCTGACCCTGTTCCGCATCCCGTACTCGCACAAGCTGCAGAACCAGAACCAGAGGCGCCCGCCCGTCCTCCTGCAGCACGGCCTGTTCAGCAACTCGGACTGTTTCCTCTGCTCCGGGCCGGACAACTCCCTGGCCTACCTGCTGGCCGACGCCGGCTACGACGTCTGGCTGGGCAATGCCCGTGGCAACATCTACTCGCGGGCCAACCAGAAGATCTCCCTGAACAGCTACAAGTTCTGGCACTTTGACTGGCACGAGATCGGCACCATCGACATTGCCGCCATGATCGACTACATCATCGACGTGACCGACTTCCCCAAGGTGCACTACGCCGGGCACTCGCAGGGCACCACCGTCTACCTGGTGCTGCTCTCCGAGCGTCCCGAGTACAACGACAAGATCGCAACCGGCCACTTGCTGGCTCCCTGCGCCTTCTTCGCGCACGGCACCTCGTTCGTCTTCAACGCCCTGGGACCCTTGGTGGGCACCCCCGGCGGCATTTGGAACCAGCTGCTGGTGGACACCGAGCTGATCCCGCACAACAACCTGGTCAATCGCGTGGTGGACAATGGCTGCCATCTCTCGGACGCAATCTGCAAGAACGCATTCGTCATGTTCGCCAACGGTGGCTACGAGAATGCCAATTCTGTAAGTCATTCGTTGCCGATTCAGTACCATTCATCTCCTGACCACACTGTTCTTCCAGAGCTCCATGTCGGTGCTGGTTGAGACCCATCCGGCTGGCTCCTCCAGCAACCAGGGAATCCACTACTTGCAGCTGTGGAAGTCGCACGCGTTCCGCCAGTACGACTGGGGCACGAAGAAGAACAACGAGCTGTACGGCCAGGACCTGCCTCCCGACTACGATCTGGACCTAATCACCGCCGAAACACACTCCTACTCGAGCCACAACGACGCCCTGTGCGGCCCCGAGGACGTGGACACCCTGGTCTCCCGGTTCACCCACCTAACGGAGGACCATCGCGTGCCCGTCCAGAGCTTCAACCACTTGGACTTCATCATTGCCAAGAACGTAAAGGAGCTGGTCAACGATCCGATCATCGAGCGCATCAACGAGTACGAGAGCCGCTAGACACGATCCCAAAATAAATACAGCAAATGCAATTTAATGAATGTCCGCACTCGCATTATCTGGCCGGGGGGACACTCAAGAGAGTGTCTCAAGTGCAAGTGCCACTGAGGAACTTTGCCTGAATTTACTGCGGGATTTAGTACTAAATCAATCGATTAGATACTGCCTTCAAACATCCAATCGAGTGCCTGAGCAATCCCTCACCTGTTGGGCCGTATTGGAGGGGCCTTCCCTGCTCTTGTGGGCGTCTGGCGTGATTTGATTCATTTTCGGCTGTTTAAACTAGTCAGAAATCGCTGATCGAATCCTAAGATTTGTTTGACTGCCAGCAGATATCAATTGAAAGGTTAACGTGTGTACATTCCCAGCGATAAGATACTCCCCTTACATGAAAATAATGGGCATTTACCTATGTCTATTACTTCATATTTAAACTAGTTGTAGTACTAATTTTAGGTAATTTTTCCATCAGCTGAGCCGCTCATAAAATATGAAAATAATCAAGGGACTGATGTAGGTTTATCTACAGGAACAAGGCCAGGTGTTCAATGATTAATACAATTTATTGTAGATCAGCGTATCTGTGAATCTCTGCTTTTAAATGGAACTCCAAGTGCACTCTTTTATATAAGAGTCTTGCAAATGCTTATCGAACCATTACCACGCGTACTTCCTCTTTCTAGAAAACAAATAACCTTTTGTATAGATCCATTCATCTTTAGATGCACTTCTAACGCCTCATAAAGCTGCTGTTTCATTTTGTGGTCAGGTCGTACGACAGGAAGTTGTGCGAACGAGGGCTCTCTTGTGCAATAGACCCCTTCCAAAGACTCGTCTGGTCTGGTCTGGTCTGTCTTTTCTTGTCTCTATAACGTATAGACATTATAGCCATCCATAGTAGATACCCCCACATGCAACTGCGCAACTCGAACCGAAAAAAAGAAACTTTTTTGCGCCAAGAAGCGTAACATGGCTTTTCAACGAAAATTTTGTAATCATTTAACAAACAAAAAAAAAACAACACACAAAACAAGCAGCTGCAAAGCTGCTATGGAATAGAGTGAAACGAAAACTACGGAATAGAGTGAAACGAATACCGCTGGTAGAGCGCCGGATTCGGATTCGGATTCGGAGTCAGCTTCTACGCATGCGCAGCGGAGTTTACATCAAACGAACCTTGAAATTATTGTCGTTTTCATCATTGTTCGGGTCTATGTGCTTGTATCTGTATCTGCAGCTGTATCTGCAGCTGTATCTGTGTGTAATTTCTTTGGCAGACTTTGCATTGCACGCCTTGGAGTCACACTAAGTGAAGGCCCGCCCTCCCTCCGCCCGCCTGCCCGTCCCCATGGAGTTCTCTGGCGACAGTTTCACCAGCTTTTCCTTGGCTCCAGTCTGCTCTGATTTCTCTCTCTCTGGCACGGGGTACCGACCATCTCCCCTAATTAAGTAACTGTTTGGTTCTACAAACGGTTCTTTTATCAAATGAATACAGATTTAGGTGGCTTAGACAGATAGATAGATAGATGTGGGTTCAGGGTTTATGCATGGCTTGCGAATTTGGTCCCCGAAGAAAGTCAAAGAAGAAAGCATTCAGTACTGAATTATTGCTAAGGAAACCAATAAACTATTATCAAAGTGAATGAAAAGATTTCAGCGTTAAGTACGGATTTATTCCTAAAAAAAAAGACCCCCTTCAACCCTCAATACTTCCCTCCAAAATTATGAATTAGGGTAAATCAATCAAATTACAAATTTCTGAAACCATTTGAGGAATTTTCAAGATTATCCAACCCGAGCCTCAGACTTACTCAATTTCAACAGTCTCCAATCAAATATCCTTGTTATTTTTTTGGAATACAGCACTTGTGTTTAAACTTTTGAAATTCCAGCGAAATTCGCATATACTTTCTCAATCCCTAGAACAATTTGTAAATTATTTGTTGTACTTGAAGCCTTTTGGCCCCATTCGAATTTCAATCACTTTCCAACGCACTTCAAAATAATTCACCAACTAATTCGCTTGGAATTTATCGGGCAGGTGACTTTTGCAATCTGGCGAGCCTTTTCTTAGCCGAACGAACCGTCTCGTTTGGAATGCACGCGAAAACTGTTTGGGCTGGCACAAAAAATGTTATGGCCCCACAGATTACTCAAGATTTCTACAAAATATGTTGGCTTGAGCGCGCCAGGCCTCACACACAGAGAGCAGAGGGCTTCCTGCCTGTGCAATATCGGAGTCGGAGTCGGAGTTGGAGTCGGAGCTGGATTCCACTCTTGGCGCCACACTTGGCTGATTCTCACTCACTTCTTTGGGGAGAAGATACTGCTGTGTTGGATGAGAGTATGGGGCATGGGGATGGTATGGAGCAGGTGAACTGTGACCACAGCTCAGAGGTCGCTCTTGGGGGGGATTGGGCCAGGCCAGACCTGGTCTCTGGTCTCTCAGGTGTTTTATGTGCTGCTTATAATGAAATTGCAAGTGAAATGACGAGGCTATTAGATGAGGAAATTGCTTGTGCAAATGAAGGCCAAGAGAATTGGGAATTAGTGGTTTGCCCAGCCAGGTCTACAAAGGATCTTTAATGGCTAAAATGGATCTCTTCAGGAATCCTGGCTGGCTCCAATCTGTGATGGAAATACTCGTATGCACCTTACATACTTTTTTTCAATATTTTCCCTTTCATCTGACAACAGCTGGGACTATCATTTCCTTGGCTCCGTGGGCTGTGGGTCTCACTTTTTCTAAATCAAATTAAAGGCCTCATAAAGCGCTTAAATCATCAGCTATTTTTTTTAATGGGATTACATAAAGAGTCGCCAGTTTTTGTGGGGGCTCTCTGCTTTCTGTTTCTTTTCCTCGGAGACGCTTCGCTGGGCAAGGCACAAACAGTCGTACACAATAGCATAACGCTTCCCTAATATATTTAATTTGTTTCACGATAACTGCCAAAGCCAATTCCATCTTTCTTTTCACTTTTGTCGCCTGGCGGCAGGAAGGGGAAGGCAACAAGTGAACAATTCTCAGCTGTTTTCCGCACACATGGAAAACAAATAATATTTTTAGTTCTATATGCCATAATATTTACTCGATTTTCTGTATGCAAAAAGCATCTACGCGCACGTCATGCAGTGGAATAATTACGGATCTCAAGGCCGACCCATGGCTGGTGGTAGTCCGTACTGTACTGCACTGGACACCGTGCACTGTACAGCCACAGCCGGAGCTGATAAGCTTTTGGGGCCAGGTCGGAAAATGATTCCCAATTAATGCCAATCCATTGCACTATCGGATCGAGCACAACACGTGTCTGATGTAAGTCTGGAGTGGGTTCCATAACGCCACTATTCCACTAATTTACATACATTCGGAGGCAGCCTCTGGGGGTCTCGACCCACTCCACTCCCAAATGAAATTCAATTTCCCACTCAAGGTTAATTTGATCTGTGCTATACGGCGGTGTTGGGCTTAGGTTTGTGCATAAAAGAATTCATTCAGCTACAGTGAACGATCTTTGGGGGAGGGGGCTTCCAGTAGCGGGAGACTCTGTGGATAAGTGGATATTTCAGTATTTGTCATTGCTCCATTTATCACAGATGAATAATGAACTAAATGTACACAAATTCGATTTAAAAATATATCAAAATTATTTTCTCTTTTTATTAAATTGATTAATTTCATTAAAAATTATATTTTATATTTAAATTAAATATTTTCCGATTTATGTGAAATAATATTTGCCACAAATCTTAATTATCATATTTAATTCTATTTAATTTGGTATTCACAAATCTAATATTTCATTTAATTATTTAATTTAATTTAATTTAATTTTTTATTTTATTCCATTTTTCTTTGAGGAACCAGAATTGGTGTTTATGTAAATAAGTTCCAAAATTCCCCACCTGTTGCACCCTCTACCACTAGACCCCACAAAAAGAGGGGCCTGTCCTGGTGGCACCCTATAAGCGGCGAGCAGGCCTTACATAACATATGTACACAATGTGTACACAATAATACGCATTCGAACAGATTTAGACATGCCGAGACCGAGACCGAAAAGGAAACCCATCCATCCACCTCCAACGAATTGTTGTTGTCAATTGCCAGGCCTCCTCTCTCTGGTCGTCTCTCTCTCTCTCTCTCTGTCTCTCTGGCGGGCAGCTTTCGTTTTTTATTGAATTACTCGATCCAAAAACAAAATCTTTGCGCCATGGCGACAGCTCCCCTTTAATAAGCAAGCCACATACCACGCCACCGTGCCACATACAACTCATAATGAATTTGACTGGCTGCCAAGTGCTGCTCTACCCAGAGTCTACTACTGGTATATGCCAAACGACGACTGCGAATCGGGATGCCCCCCCGAGTGTGCCTACGCTCACGCGATATATACGACAGAAAACATATAGCGGAAATGAGACTGTGAGACTGGGAGACTAGGAGACTGCGAGACAGTACGGGAGTACGTTGGAGGGCTTGCTTGCTGAAAAAGATTTTGCAAATTTCGAAATCAGTTGGAAATAGTCATTCGCACGTCGCTGTGCTGTGCTGTGCTGTGCTGTGTCTCTCTCCCCAGCAACTGGAACTGAACATGTTTCGCAAATTTCTAGCCAGCTTGGCCCTGGCCCCGCTGCCAAGGATCACTCCTGCCGGGCAGCTGGCCGGGCTCGGTCAGAGTCGTGGCATGCATCAGGCGCCGGACAAGTCGAGACCCCCCAAAGTACTCATCACAGGTCAGTGGACGGCACCACGTGCTGGGCTTTTGTGGATACGCGAGAGACGTTCTCAAGGGCAGGCGAAAATAAAAAACAGCTGTATTAAACAGTCCCCATATATTGTACTTCCGCACGTTGTAGGTGGCCTCGGGCAGCTGGGCATCGAGTGTGCGAAGCTCTTGCGCTCGCAGTACGGCAGCGAGAACGTGATACTCTCGGACATAATCAAGCCCAGCCAGGCGGTGCTGGAGAATGGCCCGTACATCTTTGCGGACATCCTGGACTTCAAGGGCCTGCAGAAGATCGTTGTCAACCATCGCATCGACTGGCTGATACACTTCTCGGCCCTGCTCAGTGCTGTGGGTGAGCAGAACGTGCCCCTGGCTGTGAGGTGAGTTCCGGGCGGGGTCAAGCCCCTATGCACTCGCTTAATGCCGTAATGCCCCTTCTGTAGGGTCAACATCGAGGGTGTGCACAATGTCATTGAGCTGGCAAAGCAGTACAAGCTGCGCATCTTTGTGCCGAGCACCATTGGAGCCTTTGGGCCCGACAGTCCACGCAATCCTACGCCCAACATTACGGTAGGTCCCCCCAGGCACCCCACGGACGCCCCCCCCAGAATGTTTGTTCGATATTCATGTTGCACCTCCTTGCAGATACAACGTCCCCGCACCATTTATGGCGTTTCCAAGGTGCACGCCGAACTAATTGGCGAATATTATTATCATAAATTTGGCCTGGACTTTAGATGTCTGCGCTTCCCCGGAGTCATCTCCAGCGATCCACCAGGCGGCGGTACCACAGGTATGTCTGGTATCTCCCGGAGAAATTCCCGTCTCAATCTATGCGGCATCTATGCATCTTCGAGTTACTTTCCCCGCAACGAAACTGTGTCGTCGGGCGCATTTCAAGCTTTATTTAATCCAATTTTCCAACATAATAGTATGCCTCAATTGCTGATCGTTTAGGGTAATCAAATGGCTTGACAATGCATAAAAAAAGAGGGGCTTGCCTACCCGTTGACCCATTAAGCTATTGACTCACTTAGTGTGGATATTATCTTGAAATGATGGTACCCCTTCGGTACTTCCAATAATATCTACCCCTAGTTTATTGTCTTCAAATTGTGAGGAGTGAAAGTCGAAACAAAATTCAAAATTCGAAGCACTTGGGGCTATAGAAAAATACTGTTGCATACTTATTTGTGTTGGGGTTTGAATTGGTTTCTTGCCTTCACAGACTATGCCGTTGCCGTGTTCCATGAGGCCCTGCGCTTTGGCAAATACACCTGCTATCTGCGTCCCGACACGCGTCTGCCCATGATGTACATCGAAGACTGTTTGCGGTAGGCTAACCTAACAAATCCCCCAAAAAACCCCACTAGAATGTGTCTAAGAGAGAGTTTCGTTCTGCAGAGCTTTGCTGGAGTTTATGCGGGCACCCAACGAGCAGCTAAAACGTCGCGTCTACAATGTGACCGCCATGTCGTTCACGCCCGAGGAGCTGGTGGACCGGCTGAGCAAGCATGTACCCAATCTCCATGTGACCTACAAGCCGGACAGTCGACAGTCGATAGCCGACTCCTGGCCGGAGGTGTTTGACGATTCCGAGGCCCGACGCGACTGGCAGTGGCAGCACAAGTACGATCTGGGCAACCTGGTGGATTTCATGGTCAAGGATGTGCAGGAGAACTACATCAATGTGGAGAATCGCCAGCAGCAGCAGCAGCTCAAGATCTGAGGAGTGGCTCGAGTGGGTCAGACCAAATGGAGGCCGCATCTAGTATTCTTAACAAATGAAATTCAATTGCGTTTAACCCTGCATTTATCTAGCATCTACAAACCCCAAACCCCAAATACAATGTACAAGTACAATTCTCTATAATTATCTTTTTTTTTGGTTAACATTAAACAAGAGAAATCTAAAATGGAACTTCATTTATTAGAATTGAATGCCTAACACTAAGCACCTTTCGGTTGGGATTAACAATGATGGATTGGAGTTAGTTAGTTAGTTATCTAGTTAGTTAGGGCACTAAGTGTAGACAACCCTGGGGGTTAGTGGTACATATTGGATTTCAGATATCAAACTCCTCCTGCTCTGACCCGCCCAGCTTTTCGTAGTGATGCAGACAACCGCCATGCGTGCCTATATACAGGTCCGCCTCAGCTTCACTGGAATTTGCCTGAGCTTTCGTGAGAGGCTGTGCAATCACTTTTCTGGATATATGCTGCTCGGGTAGTCGTGTGTACAGCTTCAGCTGCTGCTCTTTCTCTATGGGGTCTGTAAACGAGCAAAGAGTGGAGAGAGTTTGTCCATCAGTTTTTCGATTTTTCACTTTGATTTTCATTGCTCTGCTTTGCCACGTTTGCCCTTTAGATCTTTCACAAAGTGTCTCTCTCCAACATTTGTATTTCACTGTGCTACAATTATTTTATATTCCCAATAATATTTCTGCCATTTCTTTGCAAACATGAGAATAGATCATCAAAATCAAAAGGATTGTATTAAGGTAATAATATTTCATTTCATTTCGATTCCAATGCATGTAAAATATCCATTACAAAACCGAAGGAAACATGGTAATTGATCGGGTAATACGTTAAAGAAGTACCGAAAATCCACAACGTTTGCATCGTATTGAAAACATCGTACGTATCTTGAACATATGGTGATTGAGCTTACACTAAAGCTTAAACTACATTTATGGAACAGCGAATTGGTTCACAAAATTTGAATCTTGAAGTGATAGTTGCTTAGATGCTAAATATGTACGTCCAACACTTTGTAAAGGGTCTGAGCAATCGCTTCAAGCAGTTTACAGCACGGTCTTAAGTATACATATACATATTGCTTCTGTGTTAGCTGATTGCATAGCTTCTCTTAGTTTGGTTTTAGGTTTTTCAAGTTAATTAAGTATTGTATTGCTTGACATTTGCATATTAAGTACAGGTACTCTCCAACGATCTTTCAATACTATTTTCTTTCGATTTGTACAATAGGTTGTACAGACATACATATGCGTACAACCGTTCATTTGGAATATTTATTGATTGATCAATTGATTCGTTTGCTATTTTTACAATTTCCCTTTTTGGTCTGGCATTGCGTTTCCTTGTGTGTGTGTGTGTGTATTTTCGTGTGAGTTTTTCTTATAAGTAATATTGAAAATTTTGTGGATTCATCAAAGAGAGAAACGCGTCGTTTGGTGAATTGTTGCATGTGTTTCTTTTGCATGTGCGTTGCTTTTGGGAGAGTATGTGGGTGGGTGTTATATACATTTATCATTATTTATATTGTGTGAAAGATCTCTAAATCATGTGCGACATCATGCAACGACTCACATCACGGTTAGCGCGATGCAAATGACCTTGAAAATGCTGCTGTAGCCGTTTTTGTTGTTGTTGCTGCTGCTGGGCCTCTGCTTCCACCATCATGCCTCCAGCTCCAGCTCCAGCGCCACCACCGCTGGCCTGCATCTCGTAATCCATTAAGCAGGCCTGTGTTCCAATTATTTGTGTGGCAGGCAGGGAAAAGAAATCTGTAAGGCGAGAGGCAAAAACGGTATAGTAATGAGCGTTAATGCAGGCGCAACACGTTGCCGATATCGATAGTTATGTCACCTGCGGCTCTCTCGCAAGGTGTACTGCATGAGGTTAGGCATTTCCAGAGAGCGCTCCCACAATAGTCGCATATATTGTTGTGTCGCTGCAGTCGTGAGAGACTATGCGACTCGAAGAGCGGGAACTCCTCGCCTCACCTTGTATAGGTACACCTTGCTCTGCCGCTGCTCTGTCGACGAGAGCCGATAGTTGCCCCAATTACCGTTCGTTTATTTATAGCCGATGCAAGCGGCGTTGACAGCGACGCTGGCAGAGACGATGTCATTTCTTATCGCTGTGTCGCTTTGTATTTGTATTTGTATGCGTGTTTGTGGTTATGATAACGGTCAGGGTGGAATGTTAGGACCCCGTCCCCACAGGGGAAGTGTACCTTAGGTTAAACAAGATGCCTTTAAACGAGATGCCGAAAAGTTCATTCATCATTAAAATAATGACCAAATATTGCGACTACGCAGCTGTCGAATCAAGCTTTCTAACACTGAGATAGACTCTTGGGTAATATTTTTGCAGTAGATAGATATTTAAGCCCACTTAAATTGATATTTCAATTCATTTATCCAGTCAGTCGTTCATTGAAACCATAAATGCGATTAACGCTTTATAAGAAGTCTACACATATGATATACCACATTTATATTGATTTTCACGTTTTAGATATACACCTTTTAGATACACATTTTGCGTCTCGCCTCTTTTGTTGTATAAACCCATTATAGATTGATTAGGTGCACAACAAGTTGCAACACTTGGCTGCCCCTTCGACTATTCCCACTCCTCCACCATCTCAGCGCGGTGGCACGGCGTTTTAATTATTGTCGCGCGGATTTTAGCCGTCTCGCAAGTGCTTATCGGCTCTTTGAACAGAGAGCTGTACCCACGGAAAACGCTCTAAATAATGACTGATAAGCCAGGTCAGAGCAACCAAGTCAACATTAGGCGGTGAGGTCAGCCCCCCGCTGATTTTGTAACGAAATTCACAAAAAATTTCACGCAACGGCAATTAAATGTCAAGGTTAAGCCAAAACTGCTCATTAAATATACACATTTCGGTTGTTATATGAAATTTACTTACCATTACAATACTGGGCCGCCAGATCCACATCGTCGAAGCGGCAGCGCTTGGTGTACATCGGGTTATCCCCGTCCTCGGATGGCTCGTTCCCGTTACAACGCTTTTTGCAGCGTGCTACAGACGCGGCGACGGCAGCATCCATGGGCTGCTCATTGTTGTTTGCATCATTGAACGCATAGCCGCCACCGGCAGCGTCGACAGAGGGGGCGACAGTGTAAGAGACTGCACGTGGATTGAATGGATCCAAGGTTTGTCGCATCTGCGTGGTTTCGAAATTGGCGGCAGTCGGGCCCGCCGAGTCTGCATGTGCCCAGCACTCGAAATTTGTCAACACCATGCTGATGACGGACGCGCGCAGTGGAAATTTACCAAGAATATATGAGAGGGAACAGAACGGAATGGCGTCCTAACTGTACTCGGTCGCGCGGCAAACTGCAGTCGACGATGGATTTTTTGGTATACAGTTAATTGCCGCAAAAGCAAATACGCGCATTGCAAAATGCTGAAATAAATTTAATTAACACACGCAAGCAGGGCGAGCACACAGCCAAATACGAGACGAACGGCAAACGAAACGAACGCGCGATGACGGCAATTGTTAAAAATAAACCCACAATAAGCAAGTTTTACATTTTTGCCGCGTGCGCTTTGTTTTGATTCGCGTCCAGTGTGACCGCGGACCTATCGATCACATATACGGTCTACCCTCAGAAATATTCCGAAAATACGTCACAGGATTCAAAATATACCGTAAATATACTGACGAGTTATTTGGACTCAAGTTCCATCATATTCCTCCTTTTAGATATTCTGTTGAATATTACTATATGGCTAGAACCCTCAACTCTGAACTCATTATTTTATCCGATTATTACATAAGTTTCCTACAGGACTTGCTAACTTTAAGTTCTCATCTTTATTGGATTGTTCATAAAATTTCGTTTAAGCAAAACCGGTCATCAAAAAGTTAAAGCGAAAAAAGTAAGTGTGTTCGCTCTTCGTTCCGTTGACTTTCGCGCACGCAGGGGTGCTTTGACACATCGATAAGTAACAAAGCAACTGTAGAAACTATCGCATTATCATGTGATTGTCAAAATGTATGATAAAAACGAATGGCAGGCAAAAGCAAAATCAAAATAGTCACAAATATCAGAATTTTCAATTGGAATAAGTTCAAAAATATTTAGAAAAATGACGAACAAAAATAAGAAAACCAGCGCTGGCATTGGCGGTGCCGCTGCCCCCTCAAAGCAGGCCAGACAGCAGTCCGAGGTAAGGTACACAATGGCCACGGAGTTGCCGGTAGCTAAACCCTTGTCATGTTTATGTTTCTAGGACTCTCAGGACTATAGCTCTTTCAAAACAGTGCTCTTCTATTGCATGCTGATTGTGTTCCTACCTGTGATCACATTCTTTCTGTTAAAGGCCGTCGTTTTGGATGGCTTCTTCGAGATGAGCGAGTTGAAAGTTAACATTTTCTCGGCGGTCGGTGCCGTGGTGGCCTTACACATTGCTCTGGGACTGTATATCTACCGCGCCTACTTTGGAGGCTCCGGCGCCAAGGCATCGAAGGTCGACTAAGCTTCATCGAGGACGCTCACCATTTCCATTTTTGTTCTAGAAAGTATTAAGTCGAACGAAACACTTTTGTACATACACATACAATGTTTATATGCCCGACAGAGAGAGGGGGAAAGTTGCCTGTAAATGTGTGTAGTAATCGTTTTCTATTGCATAACTCTCGATAGCAGCGGGAAAAACGTGCAACCTACTTTGTTGTCTAGTGTTTTTTGTCTCTAATTTTGCATTAAAAAAGACATTATTAAGTGAAATGCGTGGTTTATTGAATCTGAATCGAGGCAGGCATTTGGTGCGCCAATATTCCTGGATGGAGGCTGTCAAAACAATGCTGGCAAAGCCGCGAAAGAAAATTTACAACCTGGGAGCTTGCTTTGAGCTGGCCGACATATCACAGGTCAGATATAATTCACGATAAATGGGTTCCGAGCCACATTCTTTTCTTGCAACTATCACCAAGTACAAATGTCTGTACATACGCGGTCCATCGCTGTTCAACACTGCCAATCCAGAAGCCAACAGCTGTTCGCGGTTCAGGCCAGAATATTTGGGCTTGTTTATTGGCCCTAACAAGTGCAAAAACGATAAATTGATAGTGATAGATGCCACGCAACTATTTCGTTAACACATGCTGCAGTCATCAGACTGATACACACCTGCGCCCATGCAGCACCTCGCCCAGCGGCAAACAAACAGCACGCACTATTGATTGGAACCACCTGTTAGAACTCTACGACGCGAGAGTCCCACTCCCCAAAAAAACGGAACTACTCGGCCACGTATTCGGGTATCAGTGTTCAACATGCTGCGACTCCAGCTGCCTCGATTACCGCCGAATATGTGGACGTTGTGCGTGCAGGCGGCTTTGATAGCCACCTTGGTCAAGAGCTCGGTGTCCCTTACGGACAATCTAGTTGGCCGATTACAGGTGCCACCACCCCAAAGCAACTCCTACCATCTGACTGTGCTTTAACCATCTCTTCTTTCTCGTTACAGACGTCGTACAACCCGAGCAAGCTATCGGAATCAAAATTCCTGGAATACAGCAATCTGTCGAACAAACTCCACTTGCGGGAAGCCATCAGCCACATACTGATTCCACGAGTGGTGGGCTCCGGAAACCACAGCCTCGTGAGGCAGTACATCGTGCAGAGCCTGAAAGACCTGGACTGGCATGTGGAGCTGGACAGCTTCCATGATACGGCCCCCATTATGGGGCAACTGCATTTCCACAATATCATTGCCACCCTGAATCCGGACGCAGAGCGGTATCTGGTCCTGGCCTGCCACTACGACAGCAAGTACATGCCGAAGGCGGAATTTCTTGGAGCCACTGACTCCGCTGTGCCCTGTGCCATGCTGCTAAACCTGGCCCAGGTGCTGCAGGAGCAGCTAAAACCGTTCAAGAAGTCCAAACTCAGTCTGATGCTTTTGTTCTTCGACGGCGAGGAGGCCTTCGAGGAGTGGGGACCCAAAGACTCAATTTACGGTGCCCGTCACTTGGCCAAACGCTGGCAACACGAGGGAAAACTGGATAGCATCGATATGCTTGTTTTGTTGGACCTGCTGGGAGCCCCCGATCCGGCATTCTATAGTTTCTTCGCCAACACAGAATCGTGGTACATGCGCCTCCAGTCCGTGGAAACGCGTCTGGCGCAGATTGAGTTGCTGGAGCGATATGCCAGCAGTGGGGTTTCTCAGCGGGATCCCACGCGCTATTTCCAGTCACAGGCCATGCGCTCCTCGTTCATCGAGGACGACCACATACCGTTCCTCAAGCGCAATGTACCCGTTCTCCATTTAATACCAGTGCCCTTCCCCACCGTATGGCATACGCCCGACGATAACGAAAGTGTGATTGATTATGCGACGACGGACAACCTGGCCCTAATTATACGGCTCTTTGCGTTGGAGTATCTATTGGGCGGCGACCAGGCGAAGTAGGGGCCTCTTGTGGAGTTCCCCGCAAATCAGAAATATGTATGATATTTATAGATGTAGTATATACACGACGGCCTTATCTATCTGACCTGTCCGATATCAAAAATGTTGTTAACTATTGTTATTAGCTGTGGAAATCATGTGGATCTTATTGTTAATTGACTATTCTGGCCGGCCCTTTAGGCCTACTTAAGTGACCCTGCAAATCTAATGTCCAAATATTTTTATAGATATTTATCTAAAGAATTGCTCATCTAATGGCATATTAAATTGATGTATGTATGTATGTTTAATTATTTATCGTTTGTAAATCTGCTAGAATAATGCATAACATAACACAATACACAATACAATAAATGTACCTATAAAAAAAAGCGGATTCATTACACTAACTTATCAAACACGTGTCCTAACTAGTTAAGCGTCACGCGTAGAAACATTAGCTCCAACAAATTATATGGCAAAGTCGTAAACTAACTTAAGAACTAGCTAAAATCGTCAAATTCTTGATCTAATACTATGTATATACATATATCTATTGGGAGGGAGGCTCTTGGCACTTTTCGTTGCTACTCGTCGCTGCAGGGGCAGGCGGAGGCGAAGGCAGACTGTCTTCTGTGGGACCTGTGGCCTTGGAGGCAGTTTTCAGCTCAGATGCAGCTCGATCTGTGGCCGGCTCCATCTGAGACTTGGCCTTGGCTTCGTCTGCCACTTGTCTCTTCATAAGTTGGGCTGCATTCAGTTCTTTGGGCTTCTCCACAACCACAGCACTCAAATCGGACTTGCCCTTGCCATGGCCATGCCCGTGTCCATGACCATGCCCATGGCCATGGCAATGCGAAGACTTGGACTTGCCACCATCTGGACTATCGCTAATCTCACGCAGGTCCGTACGTGAGTCCCGACAGCACACCTTTTCGATGCACTCTGCCGCCTGGCACTGCATCAGGCATTCCAGTGAGGCGGATGCATTCTTATTGGTGGACGGATAGAACTCGGGCTGGATGGTGACTGCGCCGATGCCCTGGTCGTGGAAGTACGTGCGCACCTGTTCGATGATCTTCAGGTAGAGCTTGGGATTCTGGAACTGGATGTGTATGGTGGCCACGTAGCGATGGGCAGCCAGCTGCCAGATGTGCAGATCATGATAGCTGACTATCTCCGGGAATTTGGTGACCAGCGTCCGCTCAAAGATCTCCAGATCGATGGAGCCGGGAATGGTCTGCAGCAAAATAAGGCAGGATTCTTTCACTGCGAAAGAAAAGAGACAAATTAACGTTAACTTAATGTTCTCTTACACTCTTTTATTAGCTTTTATACTCACTGTAGGGATAGCTGAGCGAAATTAGAAGGATACACGAGAAGATGGACAGCACCGGATCAATAAATTTGGCCGTATGCTGTTCATCCTCCGCCACATAGACAATGGCCGCACAGACGATCACAAAAATGGTGCTGGACACATCCCGCAACATCTCGACGGCACCCTGCCGCTTGGTGGCAAAGTAGACACTGCCCACCTCCGCCTCCAGCTCCTCACGCAGCTGGCGATCGTTCCGCGACTTGCTCAACTGCCGCTGCATGGGCTTCAGCGACAAATCCATGGTGCTGGACATGGAGCGCTCGAGGACGACATTGCCGCCGGGCGTCAAGTGGAGGAAGCTGCCCTGGTGCAGGGTATAGCCACCGATAAGCAGGTAGGTCAGCCCGTTCAATATGAGACCCACAAAGCCCAGCATCATCACGGGTATGGGCAGGTGCATCGTGTCCTGGTGATCGATGTGCACCAGCGTCTGCAGAGCCTCCACCACCAGCGAGAAGGAGAGCGAGGCCAGAATGATGAACACTATCAGCATGGTGAGTATATCGATTCTGGCCCAGCCGAAGGTATTGCGCAGCTTCTGCTCCCGGCACTCCCGCCTGGCCTCCTTCTGATCTTCCGTCTCGCCCAGTTGGACAACGACACCACCGTTGGTGCCATTTAGTTTGGTCTGCCCTTGGGCCGCCGGCTCTTCCTGATTCTTTTTGCTGTGCTGCAGGAGAGAGAGAGACAAGAGAGAGGGCTTAATAGAGTTTCGAATAGATTCGGATAGAATTGTCCATTTATTGTCATGCTTTCTAAGCCTAGTCATAACAATTGGTATTGGATCGTTAGAGCCAGCCCCGAAATGTGGTAGCCACTGTTTTAACGCTTCGCTGGTCTTCTCTGTCATTATATAATACGCTCGGCCCCGGCGGCCCACACAGCTGTGCTGTGTCCGTCCACACCTACGACTGTCTGTCCGTTTTGGACGCTTTCGATTTCTGGTATCTCTGTGGTTTCAGGCCAAGTTTTATGCGGTTTTTTGGATGTTTTGGTCTCTGGCGCTGTGTCTTTTTTTTGCGAAACGTGCTTGGCACGCTTCGCGTTCCCACAACTTCAGCGATAGATACATAGATATTTGCATTCATTCAATAATATGTTAAATATTTAACGATCGTATTGTCAACGATCATACCCATCTGTTTATGAACTCAGTCACCTTGAGTCCAAATTTATTTATAGGCAAATCACAGTTGGGTAAGAGATCGTCTTATTGGATGGGGATGGGTGTTCCAATATATGTATGTACGCGGGAGGGATATGCTTAGATTCCATCTTCTTTCTTGAAAGAACCCTTGCAGATATGCAGATATTCATGTAGAAGTTTACTAAATGCCCCATTTCGCTTTCTGCCGAAAAAGTAGTTCCATAAATTTGCAGAGCCATGTGTCCATTTGGTCATACCTTCACAGAAATACGGGTGACAAAAGGCCGTCTGGCCGGTGGTATCTCCATGAATTTCAGGCTGATATCTGTGTAGACAGAGGCATTAGATACTCGGACTTGGCAATTACACAGCAATCTACTGATAAGCATGAAATCCAATCGAAAACACTGCCAGAATGTGCAGATAATACGAACTAAAAGAACCGCTCCCATCGAGTGAAGAGAGTGGCAGAGAGGGATAGAGAGGGGAAGGGGGAAAATATTTCAAAAATTCGCTAATAAATTATAATTTGAAATGGAACCAGTTTCAGGCCAAATTCAAAAGGAGTTTGGAATGCGTTTGTGTGCTTCGGCCACAATCAAGGTTCAATGCACCCGATTCAGGCACACGATTGGGTGTCGAGTTGTCGTTGCTTTAATCCCGCAGCACGCGACAGCTTCCTGGCGTTGGCCAAAAGATCGTAAGCAAAATAAGTCAAAACAAAAACGGGTTGCCTGTTCCACTTACCTTAATTGTTATGATGCAGCCGCCCAGTGCGAATATGTTGCACAACATGTGGTACGATGCCATGAGCAGTGTCAGAGCGTGCGTTATGTGGCTGAGAGCCAGCTGGAGCACAAAGTAGCAGATCGATAGCACCAGCACCACATACAGGGGTATGGGCCTGCATCGCTGCAATATATCTTTGATTGGCATTCTGGAGGAAGGTCTGCAGAGAGAGAGAGAGAGAAAGAGAGAGAGAGTGATTACTATTTGATTCAATATTCGATTTATACGGACATGACGTTGAGAGGTTACCACTTGACTTGTCAACGAACTTGTAGACTCACACGCAGGAGTCACACCTACATAGATCTACACAAATTAGCTTGTTTTATTGCTTGTACAAATTTACACTTCATCATCGGGCTGTCTGTGAATTTGTCAATGCAAAATGTAAGGTGTTATATGTACAAATTTGCTGGTTGAACGATACCGATCGATTGGGGTGGCAAAAAATATTATATCTGGAGTATATTAAGAGAGCATTCTAGCTCGTCGAAACTATGTTTGACTGTAGTTTTGCCTTTCTATGAGCATAACTTCTTCCTAAACCCAACCAAAATCTGTGTCAAGTTCAAGTTCCTATAAAGCGGGTTAAGTGAACGGTGAACCCATACCATACCAAGACGAACCGTAACTGCACTCAACTGAACTGAACTGAACTGAACCTACCGCCATATTTGGGGATCAGCACAGGCCAAACTCATATGCAAATCATCAAAATCGGCATTATTATGGGTATGGGCTGGGGGCTATGGGCTATGGGTACTACTCCTGCTGTCGTGGGTTGGCAGTGGCCTGTCCGGCATGCAAATGAAGATGCTAAATGGGCTCGTTGTACCTGTAGCTAACCCGCCCCACTGTATCTCATTGAATCGATAGCAATCGCCAGCGGATCGGCTTGGATCGGATCGGATCGGATCAGTTGGCCCGCGACATTGACGTAACATTACGTGATCGTGGATATGGCTACTACCGATTGTTTGTTGGTTTGTTTGCTGTAACCCCAAGGTTAGACCCCCTTTTCTTTCGGCCGGACATTTGTAGTATTACAATGCCCTCTACCCGAGTGATTATCAGGCGACATGTCGCTGCTTTAATCGTGGCTTTGAACAAACCAAGGATTAACCATTAAGATCTGTTTAAATGGATAGGGAAAACTATAGAAAACTCCCCAGACAAATGGGAATCATTGAAAGCCTTGTAATCTACAGCATTTAATTGAGAATTAGTTCGAAATACCCCCCATAAAAAGATAATAGTTTCGAGGGAATATCGATTGGTGTGGGTCTTATCAAGGGGACGTGCTGCAGGCCCATTTCCATATGGTCTCCCTTATCGTCTAAGTAGAGAGTTCAAGAAGTGTTCTATAGATAAAATTATACCCGAAACTAATCCATAACTTGTGCAGACCAGAAATAATATCACAATGGTATTGTTGCCAAGGGCAGAAAAGATCTATAAAGACATATGTATGATAGTGTGACCTCATTTCTCCTTGGCGAAACCAAAAACTTCTCCCAGCACAATCCCTGACTGATATCTCTAGCATCCATCTGGAATGCTCAATAAGTACTTCTACGGCATTTAAATTGCAATCCAACGAATGATGCAACCTCCTCCACATAAACGATTTAATTGCATTCCAAATTGTCACACGTGCAATGGTAAAAATCATTTAGTTTCGATTCAAATGATATTATCTATTGTTTTTCCACCTTCCCAGTGGTCTCTGTAGCCTCTGTACCCGCTTTAGCCTCTGCGAAAGCAATCCGTAGAAGGTAATTAGAAAGATCCTAAATACAAAAGCGTTAAATGGCGCCTCCGGCCCCCAAATTGTCCGAAACAGCGCAAATCAAATTCCCAACGCTTTTTCGAGGGGAGAGAGAGAGAGAAAGCGAAAGCTAAACAGATAGTGTTAGACAGGTAGCAACAAACAATTTAGATACTGTCTATCCGTAGTATACTCGTAGATAGACAAGAGCTCGACATGTGTATGTACATGTGTACCCACATATGTATGTATATGTATATCTCCAGTGGTTCGTTCCACATGCCACAGACACTAAATGTTCATTTCCTCAATTTGTGTTCACTCCCAATGGGAGATGGACCTGCTGGCAGAGGGTGTGGGCCAGAGGCTCCCACAGAGAGGCAGATAACAAAGATAGTAGATACAGACACAAAGAGAAACTCGTCTCGCTTATTGCTGTTGCTGGGGGCACTGGATTACCACCCAGATAGCGATCTCAAATCTACAGAATACAGATTACACAGGGCTAATATTTCTATGGTCAGTGGCTCGAAAATGGAGTCAAGTATTCACGGGTTTCCCTGCCTTTCCAAAAGTATTTGACGACTCTTCGGTATCCGGCTTTTGTGTGCTGCGATGCCTTGCGATAACGTAAAATCCACTTCATAAATCTGCCCCAAGCGCTGACAGCTCGATTGTCAATTAGATCAATGCAACAAGTCACTCCATCAACAAACACACGGACAACAACAAAAACAACAACAACAAAGAGGTAAGACTGCAAAATAAATTCGGGTCCAATAAAATTTTGCCTTTTTGTTTTGATTTGTCATCAGATACGATTTGTTTGCTTGATTTTTTCTTGTGAGGAGGAGGAAGACATTCCCTGCATACAAATTTAAATTTGGCAAACAAAACAAAACAACAAAAAAAGAGATAACAATTTTATATTGAATTTTCTGCGTAGATTCCGATTGAGCCCTGGCTGGCCTCAACAATCCCCTAACGTTTCTAACGTTTTTGACCATTTCAGACAAGGTCGCCGATGCATTTGGAATTTGTAATTTACAAGGGAACACAAATTTGTTTTATTTTACGAATTCTATTGAGAGAGACAGCGATTGCTGTCAATTAACCATGGCAAATGAGGCATATTTGAATAGTTTTCAAACAAGCCAAAGTCGATGCACTTATATAGCTCTAAATCTATATATATCATTCCTTTATCTTTTCTGATAAAGTGGATAGATTTGATAACGATCGCCACGATCGCATAAACTTGTCGACTTCATCGATCCGCTGAAGAAATTCTATAATATAAGAGCACCAATGAAAGACGAATTCAATGTCTTGCATTGGTGGAAAGAGCTTCCTCTGAAACAGTGTTTTCCCTATCTAGGAACCCAGGAAGCTCCTGAATTTTGACTATGGTTTTGATCGGTAATAGCAGAGTAGCCTTTCTGCTTTTTCTAGGACATGGATATAAATCGGCTGGATTATGACTCTGGCTCAGGCATCAGTATGTTGTCAAGGGGTTTTCGTGGGACTGTGGGAAATATTGATAATAGTTTTGCCATTAGCACATTATTCAGTTGAGCGAGATGGGATCATTTTTTGTTTACCGTGGACTCGTGCAGGGCTCTAATATCTATTCATTAATCAAGGCAAACTATCCGATGCCTCGTTTGCTTTGGAAATCTGACTGTTATCAACTAGATAACGGGCCTTTGGTACGATTATCGAAAACAGGCCATCTCCATAGGAGCTCAGCGTACATCTCTAATTACTATCTATCTCTATCTCTGTCTGTGCTTATCAATCTCTCTCGTTTGCTCGTAGATTGCAGGATTAATCTATCTCTCTGTCTCATTTTGATTGGAAATGTGATTTGTCGACAACAGCCCATCTCTACAAGGGTTCAAAGTCCATCTCTAGTCGGGGAATTCTGAATATTTTGCCAACAAAGGAAAATGTTGCTTCAGATTCAATAGACTTTGAAGCTATTTCGAGAATGCTTTAGAGCCAAACGATTTCCGAAAATAAACAACTAATGGAACCGTTCTGTAATGTGAGTCAATAAAAACATTTCTCATACTCTATTCGAAAGCCACCGTCCCCGCTTTCCGAGCGTGCGTACCAGCTGCACATACTTCACAGCACAATTCCATTTAAGTTCCCAATAAAAGAACCTGGCAATGAGGTAGCCACTTATTTTAATTGCACTTTTATGAGGCCCCATTTACGTGAGATCTGCGCCTATATCCCCATGACTCCACTCCACTCCACTCCACTCCCTGACTGCAACTCCCTTCAATTACACACTTTCACTCGTCCTCCTGCTTGAGCCGATCGTGATCACAGCAGACATGTTCAGTTTATATAGAATTAAATAATATACAAATTGATATTAATATTAATGACTACTAAACACTAAAGCAATTACGTTTAATGAGGCTCATCAAATATTTCCTAGCGGTAAAGTAATTTTTAATAATAATTCATTGAGAACTTTTGGTTGCTTGCTCGGGGGCTCTTGGGCGTTTTTTAGCCAAGGTTTTTTTCAGCTGATTTGCATTGAATTAGCCTGATTTGGAGGGGACGGGGCGGCGGAAGGTGCGGATATCTCTGGGATGAGAATTTGTTTTCGGCGCAGACATGGTATGGGGGTAGCGTAGCGGATAGTAGACAGATATAACCTCTAATTAGCATTCATTTGGATCGAATTTATTTTTATACTGGGTACCGCTCGATGCGTTTTTATTTTCGATTATTATTTTCTCTCGGCGGTGCGAAAAGGTGCGAGAGGCGTCTTAATAATCACTTGCTAAGTGGACACACAGTCCAGTGTCCAGCCCGCCTGCCCTGCTAACGAATCAGTCATCTATATACATCTATATCTAGCCCCATGTTGTGTGCGAAAGGTGTGTGTTTTTTTCTGACTGGATACTGGCGGTTGGGTTGGCCAAATGTCTAACACAAGGCCAAAGAGGGAGGGAGTCTTATCAGTTCTGAATACTGGAGTGTAGAACTTAGGCTAAGATATAGGAAAATTACCGTCAATTTGGGCCAAACTTTTCAGCTTCTATAGCACAAGAGTTTAGTTTTTATATGTTTGGACTGTTCTATTTATAGGCGGGCACCACACTGTAAATTTCTTTAAAAAAAAATATTTCTATAGGCTTTTTTCGAAATTTATTATTGTTATTATTATTCTTTGTATATATCGTAGCACAATTCACACACGCGTGCCACCTGCGAAGCGGGAGTGGCAGATCGGACGATGTGGACGGCAGCGCGGCTCAGATGCGAATGAAAAGCAGAGCCACGAGGAGGCGGCGATCAAGCCCAGTAAAAATACGAAAAAAACAAAAAATATAGCTCAAAAATCTGATGTACGAAAATAAATGGGGAGGTAGGTAGTGGCAGTGGCAGTGGCAGACGCAGAGATATGGAAACAGCAACAATGACCACAGCCGGCAAAATAAAGGCCAATGTATTGAAAGTGAGCGTGCAAGTGCCTGTCTGTGGCTGTGTGTTTGCCAGTGTCTGTCAGAAAGAGAGGGAAAGCAAGCCGTACAGAGGGATAGGCAACAAGTGTGTGGGTGCAAAAGTGCGATAGAAGAGAGAGAGAGAGAGAGAGTGCCATTAGGTAGGCATTCCAGGGCCCGCGGTGCATGGCAGAGCAGAGGGCAGGAGAGGGGATAATGGTATCAGTTATAGAAGAGGAAAAGAGAGGGCACGCGCTGGTAGACATTATGAGGGTGAACTTTTGGGGTATAATATGTTTTTAGCCATGTTAAGCCCCGACGACGACGACCACAATAAAACATGTTTACGGTCCTCCACATATGCTAATCGCCAGATAATTGCAGCACACGCACTGTAGGAGAAACCCTTTACAGTTATACCTGAAACACACACACAGACACACACTATTCGTACTTCTATTAAAAATGTTCTTATCAGCCGCAATCGCGATTGGGGCGCACAGTAGAGAAAGCCTACTTTGAGAACTGCAAGATTAAAATATTTTCAACCAGAATCCGTTTGATGTTTGCAGAAATATAGTTCAAAGGCAACTGCCAGCTGCTCTGCAGGAGAAGTTGGCAAAAGGGCATATACTATTCATTGGTCTTAGAATTCTCTCCGAGACGAACCAATGTTGGCATGGTAATTGCAATTTCAGCACGTACTGGAGATAAAAGTCAACGGGGTTGACTTTTGGCTTTAGTTGGAAAAGTGGGACACGCCTGGCACCACCGGTGATGCAAGAAATATTCATAAATTAAGACGTAAGCTGCAGAGTAATTTACGAATTGTTGACACTAAGCTGTACAAGAGTAATTAAAGTTGTGTTGATAAACACATAAACCATGCCAAGGCCATTGGTGGAATTTGATGAGATTTTAATTTGAAAATGTGCGCCAAATTTGTGACATTCACAGCGAACGGTCATGCAAATAACTTATCGATAAGTTAGTTCATGTTACCATCAACAGACGGCGCTCTTCGTAGAGCTGCGCGCCAAAGCGAAATGGCGTTGACTATAATTATTTCTTCAGATTAAATCCCAGAGGAGATCCTTTTGCTCCTTCTACACACTCGCTTCCCACACACTTTGGGTGTGGCACCAATTGGTGTGAGCGTGGAATGCGCTTAATTGAGAATCGGGGAATCAAGCATCGAGAGAGAGAGATAGAGAGCAATACTCAAATGGTTAGGACCATCCTTCCAATGGTTCCTCTGGACTCGTGTCACCTCCGACACCATCACGTGTGACTGTCCTTTTACCATTAAGCTGTTTTGGAGGAATATCCAAATTTTTTTAATTTTCGCTATCTCAAATCGTGCTTCCGTGCATCATTTATTCCAATGGATTGCATTTAATCCTTTTTGCTCAGTCACTTTCAAACAATTTCTATTAGGCGCTCAAGTTTGGTGGGTCTTTTTTTGGGATTTTCTCTGCTTAGTATATTTCTGAGGGTCAAGCCAGCATTTTTCAGCGGAATATCAAAATTGAGCAATTTTTTAGACAAAATCCAATAAAAGCAAGTATTTAAATCAAAGCAGTCAAGTAGGAAATTAATTCATTAATAGGATACAATTGTGTGGGCAAGACTGAGAGGTCTATCTAGCTAGTAATATTCGACGGAATATCAAAAACGAGGACTGTGTACAAAAGAACTAGAGTTCGTCAGTATATTTACGGTATATCTTTTAAATGAGACGGTATATTTCGGTACATTTCTGAGGGGTCGGACCGTATATTTATAAATCCGCGGTCACACTGCAGGCCGTACTTGTCAAGAAAAAATTTAACAATAAAAATCTGCCTTAAAACTAGGAAATTGGGAATTACTTGCTCTAGTTTGGTAAAGTGCGGTGCAATATGGCCGCCATAGTACTAACCCGGAACATGCAGGTGGCCAGTAAGTGAAACGGCTAGCCAGTAGAAAAGTGTCTGGCGAAAATTATGTAATGGTGGAGTGCAGTTCCTTTTGCTAACGTTGTTTATTCCCGATTGTAGAACACCATGGCAGTGGTGTCGTGGGCGTGCTCTGCCTGCGGGGCTATGCCGCCGCCGCTGAGGATGCTCCACGCCCCCTGAAGACCATCAATCCGGCTGCCATGAAGCGCGGCACGGGCGGACGCAGCAGCTTCAACGGAATCGTGGCCACCGTCTTCGGAGCCACCGGTTTTGTGGGTCGCTATGTGTGCAACAAGCTGGGAAAGTCCGGCACGCAAATGATCCTGCCCTATCGCGGTGAGGACTCTGAGGTTATCCGGCTGAAAGTCACCGGCGATCTGGGCCAGGTGCTGTTCCACTTTTACAATCTGGAGGATGCCGCTTCCATTCGCAATGCTGTCAAGCACTCGAACGTGGTCATCAACTTGGTTGGCCGCGACTTCGAGACCAAGAACTTCAAGTTCAAGGATGTCAATGTTACTGGTGCTGAGCGGATCGCCAGGTGGGTGTCGCAAGGAGAATTGAGACCCTTCAATGATGAATTTTTCCCTCTTAAAGGATCTGCCGCGAGGTTGGCGTGGAGAGATTCATTCACCTCTCGTCTCTGAACGTGGAGGCCAATCCCAAGCCCCTGTACGTTAAGGGCGGCAGTGAGTGGCTGAGGAGCAAATACGAGGGAGAGCTCCGCGTGCGTGATGCCTTCCCCAATGCCACAATCATTCGGCCAGCCGACATCTACGGCTCGGAGGACCGCTTTTTGCGCTACTATGCACACATCTGGCGACGCCAGTTCCGCTCGATGCCGCTCTGGCACAAGGGAGAGCGCACCGTGAAGCAGCCCGTGTACGTGACGGATGTGGCTCAGGCCATCATTAACGCTGCCAAGGAGCCGGATTCCGCTGGACGCATCTACCAGGCTGTGGGGTAGGTATCCGAAGTACTCAAATGGGAACCGCTGTAATCTGTGTGTCCTTCAGGCCCAAGAGGTATCAACTGAGCGAGCTGGTTGATTGGTTCCATCGCCTGATGCGCAAGGATCAGAAACGCTGGGGCTATCAGCGTTACGACATGCGCTGGGACCCCACCTTCCTGATGAAGGCCAAGCTCACCAGCTTCATCTGCCCCGGTGCGCCCATTGGTGGTCTTCACCCGGAACGCATTGAGCGCGAAGGGATCACCGACAAGGTCCTGCCCGGTGTGCCCACTCTGGAGGATCTGGGCGTTCAGCTGACCACCATGGAGCAGCAGGTGCCCTGGGAGCTGCGTCCATATCGCGCTGCCCTCTACTATGATGCCGAGTTGGGCGAATTCGAAACACCAGAGCCACCAAAGACCATTGAGGCGCGTGAGGAGCTGCGCTTGTTTGCCTAATTGATGTTGGTCTGTGTGTTGGTTGGAAATTCTTAGTAAAAACTTGTTTAAGGCGATGCGTCAATAAAGGAAGTCTACATTTAAAGCGAATCGGAATCGAAAAGTACTCCTATTCTGAATAGTTTTAGTTTTTGAACAACATTTCTGCGCGCTTTCAGGTTGAAACGGAGGGCGGATTTGAATTTTCGCTCTCAAATCGTACTTAAGTGTATCGTGTATATTGAATTTAAATCCTTTTCACTCACTCACTTTCAAACAATTTCTACTTGGCGCTCAAGTTAGGTGGGACTTTTTTTGGGATTTTCCTTGATGTTTTTTTCCTCGCCACAATGTCCCTTTTCAGCTCAACAATGTCCCAACATTCCCAACTTACTTACGCTTTCTTACGTCTTATGTTGCTGGCAACATTCAATTTGCATACCCTGGGTAAAAGGATGTTGTAGAATTGAGAAAATGTTTGTCATATCAGGCTCCAATTAATGCAAAAAACAATGTAGTCTCTGTTTTAAACCTATTTCAACGATATTTTGCAGCTCATTGTCTTTCTACAGAGACCAAGAATGAGTGTCGGGATCGAGATATATTTACAAGACCCTAATCATATTCATCAATATGTCTAAAACGTATCAATTTGAGAAAAATTTTTTTTTAATTACGTTTAAAAAACAGTTTGCAAAACAGAATCTTCATATGAAATTAACGAAATAGGGTATACAAAAGCCTATACTCGCATCATGTCTTCAAATACCGGCAACACTGCGACTGTTTTTTTTTTGCTAAACTATTTTGTTTAAGCCTTGTTTTAGCCAAAATACAATAAAAGCAAATATTAAAAACTAGGCAATCTTGAAGAAAATTTATTCATAAACGGCCTAAAATTATGTGGGCAGAACTAAGGGTTTTAGGTAGCCAGAATTATTCAACGGAATCTCTAAATTGTACAATATGAACGACTATCCTCTTCGTTTTTTTTGTTGCCCATTTTCGCTATAACCGTTTTTACGCAAAATCCAATAAAAGCAAGTGTTAATATTAAGCCAGTAAAGTAGATAATAGGTTCATTAATTAGATAAAATTATGTGGGCATGGCTAAATGTTCTATATAGCTAGTAATATTCGATGGAATATCAAAAACGACGAATTTGTACAAAAGAACTTGAGTTCGTCAGTATATTTACGGTATATTTTTTAAATTTGGTATATTTCTGGCGGTCAGACCGTATATTTTATCGACAAGTCCGCGATAGCAGATATATGGCAGGAGAGCTATTGGTATAATATAATTTATATTATTAATTTATTCGAGTGGTCGGTCCAATTGTGTGCAAACATAGTTGCAAGGAAATTTTTCAGTGCTAAGTTAACCGTGCGGCTTGATTTTTGTTTGTGTTTGTCAGTGAGAGAGTGCAGCGTTTGCCAGTGTGCGGCGTGTGTGTGTGCGGGGCACTAAAATGGCAAGTGCATAAATAATTATGCTAACGGACTATGCGCTGAATGTGTATGTGAAAAGCCAGGAACCGAAAAAAAGTGCAGCAGCATTAGCTGAGAAACAGCAGAAGTCCCACCGATCGCCGCTGGCGCATCTAGGAGTCGAAAAGAGCTGCATCCATTTCATAACCGACAAATCGATCTGGGCGAAGGGCTGGTCCTACTCCCACCCATCGGGCATTACAGCGAAAATCGTTTGCTCTGGCAAGGGTGAGGGTGAGGGTGAGAAGCCCGAAACAGCAGGCAGCGTCAGCATCATCAGCTGTGACGCCTGCACCGCCGCCCACATCAGGGGCAGTGGCAGAGACGGGAACAGCGACAAAAAGCTCTGCGCAGGAAAACGCAGAAATCAGAAGCAAAGGTCAAGTCAACAGCAGCGGCAGCATCATCCCCATCGGCAGCATACCAATACTAATACATGCACCACCAATAAATTACGGTACAGCGTACGGAGCAAGAGCCTTGCCTTATTTTTAGACTATCTGCGCGAGTGTCCCTCTATTCAAATTGTCGCTGCCGGCAGTGACGTCAGCGACCACGCCTACGATCATCCTCTCGGCAGCGGTACAGCAGCAGCAGGAGGAGCACCACTTGGCCAGACACGTCTTTCCGTGCCGGCGCCACTGTTGCGTAAATACGCCGCCAACTACGTCAACGGTTGCAATTTCGAGCATAAAACCAAAATTTATGCTTTATATCGTCACCTCGAGATCGGTGCCCCGTTCGAACAAGTGCAACAGCAACAGCAGCTGAGAGTCGGTAAGATTCAATTGCGTATCAAGATGCTCTTTGCCGAGGCGGCGCCACCCAGCACTGCCCCCAGCGTCATTTCTGCTGTTGCTGTTGCTGCTGCTGCTGCTGCTGAGCCGCCGCCAGCGCCCCCGCCGACCGCTCTGCTGCAGGATCAGCCGGGAGAGCTCATTGCAGGTGAGTAATGCACGCAGAATGTGCCCCCTCTCTGGGTGTATTTTTAACGAGTGCAATATAACGGAAGTTGAAGGCACAGTGTTGGACACTGCACAGCCGAAATGACGGAAATTGAGCCACTACAGCCGTCTCTTTTTCTCCTATAGTGCTCTAGCGTCTCAGGAAGTGAGCAAACGAGTCAGCATTTCACCCGTTGTATGGGTGCTATGATTCAGCTCAAAGATGAAAAATTTTGCACTGGAAGCATTTTAGGCCGTCAAATATTTGTTTTCTATCCCCAAGTTGATCGAGTGTGGCATCAGAATTCGATCTGCAGCAGCAGAGTCAGCATTCTGTCCTGTCCCAATAATATCCGGTCCGTATAGAAGAGGGCTATTGTATGTACATATATTTGTTTACTCTCTGGTGTGTGATTCAGGCATTTCCTTCTTTGCAAAGGTTATAATTTCATTTCACCTTTTATGAATAATTATAATGGGTGGAATTCGAAAGATTTCTCAGCCACGAACTTGCTTAAAACCGCACTCTCTCTCTCTCTCTCTCTCTCTCTCAGATGGGAATATGCCCCCAACCCGTATTTATTAGCCCGGCTAAATCGCCAGCACTGCCATATTTATGGGTTAACACACAAGCAAATGTGGGCGTGAAAATTGCATTTACGACTAGATCTGTAAAGTTTTCCCTACGCCATTTTTCTCGCTACTCGTTGGCAATGTTTCGATCCAATTGGAAGAAACGCCTGATCGGTGCGATACCGCAATCGGGTATTGGGAAGCCGCGTCTGAGCCATGCCCTGATCGTGACATTCGTTCATTACTTCTCCTGGGGTCTGTTGACCGTGCCCTCGATGGTGAAGCTGAACGAGAGGTTTGCGGATCGAGCCTTCCTCATCGACGGCTTGATCTATGGGACCAGGGGAACGTTTGCCTTCATCGCGGTCCCGCTGATGGGCGCCCTCTCGGACATTTGGGGACGCAAGCCGCTGATGCTGATAGCCGTGGTGACCACCTACTCGCCCATTCCGATGATGATCATCAAGGATTGGTGGTTCTTTGTCATGATAATGATCAGCGGTCTCTTTGGCACAGTTTATTCGACGGTCCTGGCCTATGTGGCCGATGTTACCTCGCAGGAGGAGCGTTCGAAGGCCTATGGGCTGACCTCGGCCACATATGCTGCATCCATGGTGCTCTCACCGGCACTGGGCAGCCTCCTAATGGACAAGTATGGACTCCCTGTGGCCGTGTCTGTGGCTGCAGCTACTGGCCTGATGAACATCCTGTTTATATGGGTCGCATTGCCGGAAAGTCTGCCCAGGCAGAAGGAGCGGGAGCATGCCATGGACATTGCATGGGTTGGAGAAAGTCCATTTTATGCTCTACGAATGTTGGGCAAAAACAAGACTCTGCTCCGCATCTGCCTGATTGTTGTGCTCTCCTCCTGGCCCGAGGCGGGCGAGGAGTCCTGTGTCCCACTCTACCTTACGCTCAAAATGGGCTTTGGAAATGTGGAAGTGTCCGTGCTGGTTGGCCTTGTGGCGGTGCTCGGGATTGCGGCGAATGTCACGCTGGGACTCCTAATAAACGTCCTGGGGGCGAAGGGTACCATCATCTCGGGCCTGGTCCTGGAAATGTGCCAGCTACTACTCTACGGGCTCGGTAGCCAAAAATGGATGATGTGGATGGCCGGAATAATGGCGGCCACCGGCACCATCAGGGCCTCCGCCTGCACCGTCTTCTCATCCATGTACTCCCATCCCCAGAATCATGGCGCTGTTCAGGGCATCATGGCTGGCATGATGGAGCTCTCCGAGGGCCTGGGACCAGCCGTCTTTGGGATCCTCTTCTATGCGTTCAACAGGGATCTGAATGGGAAGCACAGCAGCCAAAATGGGGTACCCTTTGTTGCTGGGGCCATAAGCGTCCTGCTGGCCATTATTTTAGCCAAATTACTAGTGGAGGATGTGGACAAGCAAAAGGTATACAAGTCCTCTGGAATAGTTGACGAGATGAAACCATTAACGGGAACGGAGTAAAGAGGAAACTCCAGAATCTGTTAAGCAAATAAAATGTAATCTTGGCCGGAAAAAGTTGTAATCTGTGTATTTGCCACACCCTGCAAACCATATAAGCCACGGTTTCAAATGTACAGAGCATGCAAATTGATCTTGGATGGACCCCCGGACGCCATTTAGTCGAGACCATGCCGCCCCAGAGATGCCATTTCGGGTTGAAAAAGGGTCCAACCGTTGGCCACGGGATCGGAAAGGCAAGTGTTACTCACACTCTGATTGTGATATTACTGGAATACTCGGCCTGGGGCCTCCTGACGATGCCTATGATAGCCACGCTGAAGGAAACCTTTCCGGACGAGCCGTTCCTCATGAACGGTCTGGTCATGGGGATCAAGGGTACACTCTCGTTCCTCTCGGCCCCGCTGATCGGAGCCCTCTCGGAGATCTGGGGACGCAAGCTGCTGCTGCTGGTGACGGTGACATTCAGCTGCCTGCCCATTCCGTTGATGTTCGTCCACAACTGGTGGTTTTTCGTGATAGCCTCGCTCAGCGGCGTCTTTGGGGTGACCTTCTCGGTGGTGTTTGCCTATATAACGGATGTGACAACGCCAGAGGAGCGTTCGCGGTCGCACGGGATGTTGTCCGCCACCTTTGCCGCCAGCCTGGTCGTATCTCCGGCCTTGGGTAACATACTAATGAGTATGTACGGAATCAATACGGTGGTATTCTTCGCCACGACCATCGCAGTGGTGGATGTGCTGTTTGTTTGGCTGGCCGTCCCTGAGAGTCTGCCCAGGAAGCTGCGCACCAGGATCAGTTGGCGGCAACTGGATCCCTTCGGGAGCCTGCGGATGATGGGGTCCGACAAGAACATCCAGATGCTGTGCCTCATTGTATTTCTGTTACTGCTCCCCGCAGCCGGCGAGTACTCCTGTATGCTCGCCTACCTCAAGCTCAGGATTGGCTTTGACTTTGAGGAGCTCTCGGTTCTGATCGCCTTCATTGCCATCCTTAGCATCGCGATGAACCTGGCCCTGGGCTCCCTGATTCGAGCCCTCGGAGCCAAGCGAGTGATCCTCGTGGGCTTGGGCATGAATATGCTGCAGCTGCTTCTGTACTCCTTCGGCACTGAGAAATGGATTATGTGGACGGCGGGCCTTGTGGCCGCCCTGGGGTCCATGAGTTTTCCCGCGTTGAGTGCCTATGCATGTATCTACTACGACTCCAAGAGCCAAGGGGTGGTCCAGGACATGATCAATGCGATGTCCAGCCTGTGCAATAGCCTTGGACCGGGAGTGTTCGGTATTATCTTTTATCTCGCCGACATGGATCAGGATCATCCTGTAGCAGCTCCCTTTCTGTTCGGGGCCATCTGTCTGCTCATCGCCATCCTGGTGGCCATCTTCATGCCCCTCAGCCAAGAGCCGATGGGGAAAAAAGCCGATTTCTCCGAGATGCCGTATGTGATTGAAATGCTTATTGAAGTCCCTACATCCGTATAGAAATAAACGATGATTCGGCTTAGTTTTAGAAGTTGATCCTTTCGTCATCGACAGATGGGCTTCAGTGGGCTAAGATTTAGTCGGTGTCGTCACCAAATCAGCCAGTCGCGGGTCTCCTGCCTCTCAGTCGACGACCGCTTCTGTTTGTTTTGCTTTTTATTTGTGTTTTTGTTTTTCCCTTTCCGACATTTTCATTTTATTTATTTATAAATTGTGCCTCTGCTCTTTTTCGCTATTTCAAAACAGAAAATTCACGACAGTTTGTTGACTCTTACGTAAGAGCGGCGGGGTCGCGGGTTCGTCTCGCGCCTCTTCGGAGCACAACATTTGGCAAAATTTAATTTATTAACAATTGCTGCAGATTCCCGAAATAGTCCCAGATCTATCCAATCACTTGGCATAAAAATACATAATACCACTCTCCTCTATGTATTTTCTGTTTGAACGGGGCAGCGCCGAAAACTTTCCATTGGGTCGGGCGGGCGGGCGGTGAGCGCAAAGCAAAGAACCCAATGAATACAGATGTACATATGTATGTATGCATGTACGTGTGTGTATGTTACACACAAGCGAAGAGAGAAAGAGCGCCATAAAAATCACGAAATAGTGCGATATACAAAACACGTGCGGCACACACACAAGTACAAGCTAGCGATGAGCGAACGATGGCGAGAGAGGCAGAAGAGCGACTCGTAGGCGACGTATAAATATTATTTAACGGTAATCCAGGGACGGATTAGGCAGCCACAGGGTGGATGTAGCTGTGTCGGGTTTTTTTTTAGTGGAATTCATGGTTTGCTTATTAGATATGGGCCCAAGAGATCTTGGATCTCCGTTGTACTAGAAAAGAATTGCCATGGGTAGGCCATGCCTTAACTCCGCTCCCGTCCATCAAAATCCAGAGAGGAGAGCGCAAACATAACTTTTGTCACACTTTATGCTTTCAAGCTTAGTTCTCTGCACTTTGTTGTTGCTTCTCTTTCGCGTTTCGCGTTTGGCAGCGCTGTTGCCGGCTAAGTGTGGGGTTTTTCTGCCATTGGCCTTCAGTTCCGCGGTACGGGACTTACTTATCAACCAGACAAACATATTGTACATATGGAATCTACATCTGTACGAAAAAACCTATGAATGTAGAAGCAAACATAAAAATGGGCAACGATTCCAACAATTTAAAGAGGAATGGCGGAGGAGAAGAAGCATGCACAAGCGAGAGGCAAAATGTGTGAACAACAAAAGCATTCGTTTTCGCATTTACTGCTTTGCAGGCAGATACTTTGTTGCTACACGGTTTGGAGACGGTGTGGAATGGGGATATCGATAGGCCTTGCCCTGATGGACAAGCGGGGAGGGGTCCCCCATCTCGCTTTCCTTCACACTCTTTCATTTCTCAGCTAATGCGAATTTCTATGGGTTTTAATTAGTGCTGTAAATATTCCTGATGTCAGCGAAAGCCGAATGGAACAAAACGTTGCAGAATTGCTACGGCGTACCGTACTTTTACTCTCCCCGCCCCCTCCCGTTCCTGTGCCCCCGCGGCTATCTGATCCAATTATGTCATTGAACCTGATGCCAGACTAGGCGACTCTTATCAATTATCTTGGAGCAAATCGAAATTTTGCGCGTTACCAGGCGGGTAAATCGGGGAAAAAATTCGCAATCGCACGGATAGCCTTTTGACCTTTTTAGTGCGGATTACAGTTACTACGACGTATACGTATACTGTATGTACGTTCAGTGGATAATGCCCTTGAATTTATTGCAAATTGTACTTCCTTTTGTCACTGAACTTTGCCAATGCCAAGCAATTTATGCTAAAAATTTATTTGGGTCTGGTTTTGCTTTTGGTCTATGCGAACGAGTGGCGAAGAGAGAGAGAGAGAGAGCTGGAGAGAGACAGTTGTGGAGAGGGGGTTTATGTGGAAAGCTTTGTGTGTTTTTCTGAATACTCTACACAAGTATGCTGGATACACCGTAAATGCCTGTCCAAAACAGTTCAAGGGAAAATTGACAAAACTTTTAAGACAAAAATTACGAGTATTACCAAAATCAGATACAAATTAACATTGAACTGAATTCACGACATTGAGAAAAACTAAGACCGTAAAGGGTGTTCAGAGTTCGTGTCAGCGTGGCCGCTCTTTTGCACAGCTAATGCGCGAGAGCGGGAGCCAGCGTGTGAACACGTGAGAGCGGGAGAGAAATGCCAAGAAGAGCATAGAACTCGATTACGGTTCTCTGCCGGCATTTTCGGCGTCTCCCTTCCACACACTGCCGCTGCCGCTGCCGCTGCCGCTGTCACTGCCGCTGCCACTGCCGCTACCCGCCAGCTTTGGCTGCGAGGCCGGGACTGTCCATCCACAATCCACATTTGGAAAGCCCACGTCGTGGAGATCGGTTTTGTTTCCGCTTTAAAGAACTGTAAACACACCGAGCACATGTGAACTGTAAGAAGAAGAAAACTAACGATGTAAATCTCTAATCTTGCAGGCACCCCCAACAACCTTGAGCTAATGGAGGCCATGAAGAAACTGGACGCGGATCTGGTGGCTCTCTTCGCCACCGCCGCCGCTGAGCCGTTGGAGCAGCTGAAGAAGCAGCAGAAGCTGTGGCCGGAGCAGGAACTCCAGCTGCAGCAGTCCCCTGCTGATACGGAGTTGGTCATCACGCCGGAGATCTTCCAGCGCTGCAATGCGCTGCAGCTGCACCTGGAGGCGGTTACCCTGCAGCCGGAGGGCACCCAGCGCATGGAGCTGCTGCAGAGCGAGGTGCGTCCCATCTTCACCGTGGAGTGCCAGCTGTCCGAGGACCTGATCAAGTCGGTGGCCCGCTACCCCATGTTCCACGTGATGCAGTTCGAGTCGGAGAAGTTCCAGAGCCTGACGCAGTGCACCCGTTTCGGGCAGACGCAGACGCGCGAGGTGCAGCTGGCCTGGAACGACAACGAAGACATGGGTCATGTGGATCTGACCATTTGGTGGCGTGAGCCGGGCACCTGTCTCAACGAAATGCTGGGCATGGGCCGGCTCCACCTCAGGGAGCTGTACGAGGCCTCGCTGCTGGAGCAGTGCAAGTGCGTGGCCGTGAAGCGGCGCGACGTCCACCTGGGCAGCATCTATGTGAAGATCAGCCTGCGCTTTGACGAGCAGCTGGAGGCCAGGCGCCTGGCCAACAAGAATTCGGCGAATATGGTTGGCCAGAAGCCGAACCAAAACCCAAAACAGATTCCCAATCAGAATCAGAACCAGAACGAAAGTGGCAGCAGCAGTGGCAGCACCAATCAAGCAGCAACCGCCCCAGGTGAATATATATGACTAATGTCGTGTGCCTGCCACCAACAAGAACAACAGATACAGATCCCCAAACAACAAAAACAAAAGCCAGAACCACACGATTATCACTCGCACCACCACCACAACACAGCTGCCACAGTGCCACCACGCCTCCGCCTCCTGCAAATCCTCCACACCCTACTGGCTGCCATTGTACAAGTGCTGCCCATCATTCTGTTTCAATTATTAATAAACAATTTTACTTTTACCTGCGAAAAAGATGCAAAAAAAAAAAAGAAACCAAAACAAATCAAACAACAAAAACAAACAATTTCTTATGTGTTTTATGTTTATTTTTTCCACGTATTGTATTTATTTCGTTTTTCCAGAGCTTTTCTTGGCGGCACAGTGGGTTTCGAAATCATACAAATTATTAGAAATTTAAGCGATATTTATACAGTCCATTGTCCATTAACGCGAACAAAAACAGTTCCAGTTAAAAGTAACAGTTGTCCGATGTCCGCTGTGCGTTGTCCGCTGTCTCCGCTTTCCTGCGCTTCCCCTCCCCCCAACAGTTGGGCACGTGCCATAGCCGATTTGACCCGGTTTTACCCGGTTGGCTGCTTGAAAGCTCTGACCGACTGTTGTCGAGGCGATAAGGCGCGAATCTCGAATCTGATACATTAATCGAGGAGGAGCTGGGGCTGGGGCTGGGATCAAGGTCCGTTGAACTATGACTAATCTGTAGATGGCTAATCGTATCCTCTCCTGGTTTCTGTCGCTCTCTTGCAGCTAACTACAGTTCAAAGGAAGCTCTGACACCCCCACAACCACCGCCACCGCCGCCGCCTCCCCCCAAAGCAAACGGCAACAGGAAAGCCTTACTGGCCAGCGTGAATTTCATGGCAGAGACAACCAAGGTCCGGCTCCTGCGGGGCTACATCTACGCGGGAGAGCTGCGGCAATTGTCCCCGACAGACACTGCCGTCGGCCAGGAGCTCTCGCTCCAGCCATTCTGGCAGCCACAGCCTCTGGTGGCCAAGCTCAACGATGTGGGCTCGTTCCAGCTGCAGGAGCAGTTCGCCATCATCAACGATGAGAAGTTTCTGCTGAGCGTCGATCGTCAGCAGCTGTTGATGGAGCTGCGTCCGCTGGGCGGTCTGGTGAGGCTGCCGCTCCATCAGTTCTACATTGCGTACAGGGATGCCAGCATCACCAATCATCTGTGCAAGGGGAAGGTAAGGGGGCATCACACATTCCACACATCTGTTTGTCTAAAGTAAAGTGTCGGCTTTTTGCACAGCTACCCGTCATCTCCATCGATGGCTGGGCTCCCATTGTCCATCCGCAGACGCAGGCGCAGCTGGGCGAGCTCAAGGTGCTCCTTGCCATTGGCAGCGAGTCACAGATTGCCCAATTGAAGCAGCAGCGTGGCTTTGACCAGGACAACAATCAAGTGCCCACGAGCAGTCGCACCACAGATCTGCTGGACATGCTCCAGAATGCACTGACTGCGTCTCCACCACCCGCGAAAGTTACTACTGGCGCTGGGCCAAGTCCGCCTATAGCTGGAGCAGCTCCCTCAGCGGCCAGCAAATTCAGTTTCGACTTGCATATTGTGGGAGCAGCCGGATTGCCTCTGAATCCGGGCTATGGGAAATCGGGCAAGAAGCAGGCCAAGCGTCAGGCTGCAGCCAAACAGCGATTCCCACCCAACGAATCGCCCAACACCTATGTGACCTTCCAGGCCCTGAACAGCAACAGTCCGACGTACAAGTCGCACGAGGGTCTGGTCTATGCCACGCCCGTTGTAGAGAAGTCCACCACACCGCAGTGGCGGACCAAGTTCCGGGTGGAAGTGAGCCTGGATTACCTAAACAATGTGAGTACAATGCTGCTAATTCTCTCTATCTCCCTCTCTCTTTATCTCTATCTCTCTCTCTGTCGATTTGCAGCCTCAGAAACTCTTCATTCTGAAGCTGTGGAAGAAGGCTGCCATCAATGCAAGCGGCAGCACCGAACCCACTCCGTTGGAGGATGCCATCATAGGGTTTGCTGCATTGAATCTCAGTCACAAGAAGCCAGGCGGCGAGCCGGCTTTTCCCAGTGGATGGCATAACATAGTCGATTTTAATGGGCGCGTGACCGGCGGCCTCGAGGCTCACGTGGAGCCACTGCCACCGCCCGGAGGCACCAGCATGGATACTGTGATAGATCAATTCGAGCAGTCCATGGAGCTGACACACCTTCATCTGGGCCAGGCCATCAAGCGAAAGTACACGGAGCTGGAACAAATCTCACAAAGATTGCGCACACGTCTGGTGGACGTCACGGAGGAGGCTCTGACCTCTCCGGAGTACGATGTGGATGCAGCACTGGATAACTGGAAGATGGTAGAGACGGATGGGTACGACGACGAACTGGTGGCCGATTTTGAGCGGGCCCTGCGTACACCCACGCCCCCCAATTCGCCACCGCCCACCGCACAAAGTCCAAGTAATGAATCTGGCCGGGAATAGCCCAGGCCTGAACCCACACTTAGTCAGGCAACTTTTTTCCCCTCTCTGCATCTCGATGTTATCGTTGATAAAGGCTCAACGCTAGCTCTAGTTAACCATCTAGTTATACAGTATATATTATATGGATCTTGATCACGATCATGCACACCCACACCCACACCCTCACCCTCACCCGCAACCAAACGCATATTGTACTTAAATTGGCATCCCACTTTGCCTCGATTCACCTTTTGATGGCTGTCTATATAGCATAAAATCAAACAAGCAGCAACGATCACCCAGCGATCGTTCCATTGAAATACAAATTATTGATTGATTGAATTATTGCTTGGGGAGCATCGATCCCCAGGCCACATGCATTATATTATGTATTAGTTTCGAAACTGTGTTAATCACCTAAGTATTTAGACATTATTACTTAATGAAAATTTAAATAAAATGCTAAAGCAAAGTGCACACAAGGTATGGCGCGTCGAGTTCTTCCTTCTACGTATATTTCACAGAAAGTCTTTCGATTGATTGATAACCATTTGTATATTGAAATCGGCTAAAACTCTGTTGGCGCACCTGCGGTAATTCCCACTGCCCCGCTGAGTCATCAATTACTATAGAAATAATAAATATTTCTGATGAAATGCACAGACCTGTTGACAAACATCTATTTGACGTGCATGTGTTTGCAAGCACCCTAACGTCGTCATTCATGGAAATGTTATTGCATTCGAGGCGCATTTGTTCAATGTCAATTAAAATTCTAGAAAAGGATCTAGCCGATTCGCAGTTGGCCCCATACACATGCATTACATTTGGTTATCTGGCATCTGGCATGGAAACGCTCCAACAGATTGATAGACTTAAACAATCTGGAGCGACCTTTGAAGATTGTGACCGACTGCGAAAACAAATGCTTGACGGACTTTAAGAAATGGCTCCACATATCCGTAAACTGATTTTCTTGATCTCTACCTGCATTTGTATCTTGGCTTGCAATTCAGTGGAACCACTGGATTATCTTACAATGGCTGGACGGCTTAGACGATAGCTGAAAAAGGTATCTTAAGGACTGAAATACCTAAAGCGTGACCCAATCCAACAGATTTCAGTGATCCTAATCCCAAGAGATAAGGATCGTTCCATGTTTCAGCCGTAACACATTCCTTTTGAGATTATAAAAGATTTCAAACAAATTCTGTTTAAATAGATATTGAAAAAAATTTTAATATAAAAATTGTTACAACTATTGTGTGATTTTTTTTGTGGGGTTAATAACCCCTCCCTCACATATTAATATATATATATATATATATACACATATATCATTTAATATATATGTATGTTTGCCATATCTGGATTTATTTTTTCTTCTCTTTTATGTTGTTTTCTAAAGGCTAGAAAATCATAAAACCATTTCACGAATGCACAACAGAAAATAATGATTTGGATATACAATTTCATTGAACTACAATATGTCTATAGATATACGCGTATGGGTGTATCAGATGTAAACGAAATACTTCGAATGGATTGGATTGGATTTGATTGGAGGATTAAACATATATGGGCGAAGTGAATGCTAAGAGCGAAGAAACTACAGAAAAGCATATAGTAGGGGGGGCTGGCTATATGCGGCTTTTCTGTACTCAACTTGCCGCCTAGATACGATACATATAACGTGTTAAATATATAAAACTATAGAATATGTAATGTGTATTTAAAAAAAACTGTTAATCTGTTATACCCACTCCTCGAGACTTGCCTTAGCTTGGTGGCTTACAAATTACAATTTTATCTTACGAGAAAGTGTTACACAGATTGCTTTCTGTCGAAAAATACAAATGAGCTGGAATACGTTTGGCGATTTTTTTTGTAAATGGAACGCTTCATGTTCTGTTTCTGTTTCTGTTTCTTTTTCTGTTCTGTTCTCGATTGATGTGCATATTGATAGATTGAAAACGTTTATAAATCTGTATGTTCTGTATCTGTTTTTTTTTTCTTATGGCGTCTTTCAGTCAATGACCACGCGGGTGAGGAGTATGCCGCGCTTGCTCAGCCACAATCTATAAATACCAAATAAATAATTATCAATCAATGGCCAGAGATTGCGGACCGAGGTGGCGTGGCTGATGCTTACCCAAAGCCGGCACCAAGCAGCAAGGACAGGACATTGGTGAACAGCAGCGAGTAGAGGATTTCGCGGGAGAACAGCGATTGGGCGCCCAAGCGCTTCAAGCGTATGGAGTAGCCGCCAGTAGTCTTCTTTTTCTCCTCCTCGTCGCCGGCCTTATGCACAGCCTCGAACTTCCAGTTTCTGTAAAACAACGATATCTTTATTACACATTGTTCCACAAATATTAGTGCTTGCTCGTACTTGGGAGGCTGCTCATCTGCGCTGCGATTCCAGTTCTGCAACCAATCTCCATTGTCTGTGTTCTGTTTTTCTCCGGCCTGCCAACAAAAGAAACGTACACGAGTATAGTGTCAAGTTCTTCGCCAAGGTTGAACCTCCGTTTCCTCGCACTTACCTTTGTCCAATAGTTAATGTACACGTTTCTCAGCTCATCATCGGGACAGAGTTCCGTTTGTGGACTGTTCGGTGGGCTCTTGGGGCTGTCTCGGGGCGTATCACGACGAGAGCTGGCCAGCGAGACCACACGGCTCGACTGGTTCGATTCGCGCTGTGCCTCGCGCAACAGGCGCAGATACTCCTCCCCATTGTTGAACGGCAACGGTGTGATTCTGTCGGGGCTCTTGATACCGGCCATGGCAGCTGTTGTGCTCAGTTCAATCCAAGATTCTGCAAAAGTAAATCACATGGAATTGGGTCATTATGATGAACAACAAGCAACAAAGAGTAAAACAAATAAAGAGGAGCGACAGAAAGCTGTAGCCAAATGCTGTGAAACTATCTACATATTGAGCTGTTTGTATGCTGTATGGGTGCTGGCTAAACATATACATATGTATGGAGTCTTCGTTTGTTTGCCTAAACTGTTTTGTGCTACATTTTTCATTCTGTAAAGCAAATACTCGGACCGAAAAGACTGTACTTGCCTAAGCTGGTCAGAAATTAGCTTAATTCACATTTCGAGAGTTATCTTAGCCTTTGGATTAATATGCATCACTCCGCTCATAAGAGATTCGTGAGACGAAGTTTGAAATTCACTGGGAACTTTGTTCGAAAAGATTCGCGTGAGACACCACACAGTTTGACATTCACTGTGAAAAGCCGTTTAACGCCTGCTGTGGCTCCAAAAATACAACGTCGTCACCCCTTTGCCAGCCTTTGTTTTTGTTTGCTTAAACGTAAATAAAATCTTTCCCCCGTGCGCGCGCGCCTTAATGTCTGTGTGTGCGTTTATGTGTTTACGTGTACGTGTACGTGCCCGTGCCCCATTGATAAGGCAAACACCGCATTACCCTACCTTCCCCACACAATTTCCGTTTCTTTTATTGGAGCAAGCGTGTACACACACATACCTACAAACAAATGCAAACACAGACACGTTTTCAAAGCTTATCAAAATAACGAGAAATTGTATTTTCAAAGCGATGCAATATGTCTGTGGGGACAATCGTGTGCAAATTCCACGCGAGAGATGCTTGGCTGGCTGATAAGGAGAGCACAACAATAACGGCAACTAATTTAGTAAAAATTTCACAGACCGAATCAATTAGAGAGCAGCACAGGGGAAGGGCGAGAGAAGCAAAGTGCAGGTTTCACTCACGTGGCAGACCAATCATGCTGTGCTGACAAACAAATACTAAATGATGCGTCTAGACAGGGTCTCAAAGATTTATTCGTAACCATTTTTGCAAACCCAAAGCCAGGTAGGCCTTGGATTAGGGCGCACAGGTGACCACAGTTATCGGAAATACCCACTGTATAGTGTACACGGAACAGGTACGAAGGGAAACGCTAAGACAAAAGTGTGTTTAGGGGTGGCAAAAACATGGCTTGCTGACTCACGGCACGTAGGCCGAGTGCAACAGTATATGTGTGTGTCCAGTCTCTGTCTCCCTCTCGCTTTCTTTTGTTGTTTGCATCTCTTGATGCGCAGCTGCTACTGCTGCTCTGATGTTGTCCCTGAGCCACGGCCCATTGAACCGCCTTTTATTGGATGACTCCTCCATATCATGCATACATGAGTGGTAGTATCTGTGTGTGTGTGTGTGAGTGTGTGTATGATGATGATAAGTAGGCAAAGCCGAAAAATAATTGAGGCTAAAGTCAAAGTCGCAATTTCTGGAATATGTGGGAATCAACAACAATCATGGGAGCAGAGGGAAATGCCCTCCTACAATTGCTTCTTAAAATATTTATTTAAAAATTATTTAAGCAAACAACAACGAGAGGGGGGGTAGGCGTGGGCACTTTGACGTCAAACGGTAAAGTGCAAAGTAAAGAGACATGGCATGAGAGTGAATGGTCATGCACTCTCTCAGTGCAAATTGGAGGAGGGCAATGCCAGCGAAGGAGAAAGAGGGTACAGCCTCTTTGTTTTCACTCTTTTTTTTGCTGCGAAGTTGTGGCTCTTTGTTGCCATACTGCTGCAAAGAGGCGCAACAAAGCAAAGCCTTGAAATGTAAGATGCGGGAGGGGCGGATACAAGTGGAGCACTGGGGAAAATACGAATATGCGGATACAAACAAAACACAAACACAAACATCTATTTATAACGCGTCGTCACAGCCACAACTACAACAAATAGCACGCAGAGACATAGCGTGTTAAAAAAAGGTATATCAAGTAAAAGGTAAGTCCAGACTACTTAATGCGCATTGTTATTGTTAACGCAGATAATGAAATTTCACAATACACAGAAAATAGCTATGCCGAAGCAAAACCAAAACAACTTACCGCCCAGCAAATCTTCAGTCGATTTTGGTGTCGTAGACATTTTGTTTAGGTATTTGTGTGTGTTTGTGGGTATATGGTAGGGCTTTCTGGGTTCAGAGTGTTCAACACTTGTACACCAAAAGATAACTCGTTCTCCGCTGCTATTTATTCAGATTAAATTCAAATTTAATTTATTCTTCTTGTTTTTGCCAGTCTTTTTTGAGCCCTTTTGTTATTATTCGCACGTTTGCCTGCTTGTGTGTGTGTATTCGCTTTTTGTGTCAATGTATGAGTGAGAATATGCGTTTTACTTTTTGTTTGAAGCTGCGCTGATTCTCCGTCTGTGCACTGGTTGATTGATACTATTGTTTTCGTTCTAACCAAGCTAACGGCTTGCACTTTAAATATTGCAACTTTGTCCAATGCTTAGCCGAAGCGCTCTCTTTTAGGATTAAAATAAACGGAAAATCGTTCCGTTTAACAAAACAGGAAATACTACGCACCCGCCAAGCTTAATGCCAGTGTGACCGCGACTTATCGAATACATATACGGTCTCACCCTCATAAATATCCCAAAAATATGTCGCAAGATAAAAAATATACCGTAAAAATACTGACGTTTAAGTTCCATCATATTCCTCGATTTTTATATTCTGTTGAATATCACTAGATAGCTAAGAGTCTCAGCTCTAAACTCATAATTATATCCGATTAAGGAATGACTTTCCTACAAGACTGGTTAATTTTAAGTTCTCATCTTCATTGAATTGTTTACAAAATAAGGTTTAAGCAAAACCGGTCAACAACAATTTACACAAAATTAATTTTCTTACATGGTAACTACACGACAACTACACCTTTGCTACATATTAATTACTTGCTTATGTTTTTATCAAAACTGACACCTGGAGGGGAAGTGTGTTTCATATACTCCCTATGGAAACGCCAGTGTGAAAAACCTCCGTTATCCACCTTGGAACATTTTTGAAAAGTTGAGATTTTGATGGCAAAGAATCAGGATTGCGATGCTGATATTCGACGTGGCCTGGGACATGGCTCTAAATGGCAGTACTCCACGTTTTCTACATCTTAAAAAATACTAGCAAAACTATACAATTTACAAATATACCGATAAGTCGATCACATATATTGCACTCGGCGTTTATTGTTATCGCGTTTTTAAAAACAAATCGAACGTTTCCAAGTCACTTTTTGCTACATTTCGCACAAAATAAAAATTATTTCCCAGCACTATCGTTCTAGGCGAGATGTACAGGTCTTTCTGCGGATCGTACTGGGCACGGCCCAGTAGTTTAAGGAACTCGTGACGTTCGCGCAGCCGGAATTCGCGCGAGGCCAGCAGCTCGGCGCATTGCACTATCTGGGAATGTGGCAGGCCCATATCCTTGTGAATATAACTGAATCTCTCTACCAGATCATCAGGACCTGCAAGGAGACATATAAAGTTTAACAATTTGAGAGGACAGCATTTTCCAATCAACTTACGGATCATCATCAGACGGGGCTTGCGAACAATCAGGGATTGCAGCTCCCTGGCACTGAAACCCATTTCCTCGCGGAGGGTAAACACAGATTTACGCAGATGTTCCATATTATATGTGATCAAATTTGGCTCTTTGGTGGCCATTAGACGCAGGTCGTGCCCACTCAAACGAAACTCCTTTTGGAAGTAGCCCAGACGGCGATCCACGCGTTTCGTAGAGAACATAAGCCAAAATGGATTCTGTGTGAAGATGCGCTGTCTGGCCTCGTCCGAAAATCTTTTGCTCTTCAGGTACTCTACGCGCGTCTGCAAATCGTCCAGATCCTCTTTGAACAGCAGCGGATTCTTTGTGACCATCTTGCCAAAGTCATCGGGTGCAATGCCCTGGTCCGCGAGAAAGGACAAACACGGTTTGATATTCTTCTCAAAGTCCAGGCGGAGAACAAACTCGCCCAGACCCTTGCGTCTCTCTATGCTGTGCAGATCCACGCCCAGGCTAACAAGCTGCTGCAGTGTGCTCGAGCTATTGACATAGGCGGCTAGATTAAAGGACGGCACGTGGGCCTCCCGGCTCCCAAAGTCCAAGGCAACTGCACTGGAATGTTCAGGCGCAGGCTCCAGTTCCTTGTCATTTGGTTTTGTGGCCACATCTATTGATTTGATTGTATCCGCCTCACTTTGTATACTTCGGTTGGCGCGTATATGCCGGCATTGAGCGCAAATTGCCTCGAATTTCGCTGCATTTTGTGAACTTTTTATAATGTTACGTATTGCAGAGCCAAACATGATGCAGTCGATATATTTATCAGCAGGAAGTGTTGGAAAATGATTGAAATAACTGCAGCTAGTGGGTAATCGATATACATCGATATACGTAAATCGGAGACTGCCTGTCACACTCTCGATCTGGTTGATCTTTGGTTTTCATATTTTCTTTATTGTTTGTACAGCGCAAAATTAAGTGACATATTGTGGCTTTCGTGTAGTGTTCCTGGCCAAAGACCTTTTTGGATTATAGTGTTTGGTTTTGTTGGACAAGCTGGAAACGATGGACAAGTTACGCCGCGTTCTGAGTGGAGATGAGCCCACACCGGAGGAGGAGAGCAGCATAATAACACAGGTGAAACCCATTGTTTATTGCAGCCCCATTAACCACTGATCCCATTTGCAGCTAAAGATGTCGGTTGGCTCGATTAGGGCACGTTACAGCTACCCCTACCCTACCATACGCCCCCGCGATCACATGAAGGCAGAGCAGCTGTGACTCAACGCTTATCAGCCGTATTAATTATTTTACCGCCATTATTTATACATAAATGCAGATTAACGACATGTCCACACTGAGCTGGTCCACACGCATCAAGGCATTTTGCATTTGCTTTGTCTTGGGCATCTTTCTATCTCTGTTGGGCTCCATTGCTCTCTTTCTGCACCGCGGCATTGTGGTCTTTGCGGTTTTCTACACACTGGGAAACATCATCTCGATGGCCAGGTGAGGCTCCGTTGTTTCACATCTTGGGTTTCACATGGACCAGCTAACGAGTTTGTCTTCTCCCGTACACGCCGTATATCCAGTACTTGCTTCCTGATGGGCCCCTTCAAGCAGGTCAAGAAAATGTTCGCCGACACGCGCCTGATAGCCACCAGCATTGTGATCGTGGCCATCGTTATGACATTCATTTCCGCCATAGTGGTACAGCATGATCCCATTTTATCCCATTTAAAATTATAATTTTCTTTTGATTTGTATTGTTTTTTTTCGTTTATCCGTTTTTAGTTGAAAAAGGCTGGACTCACGCTTATATTCATAATCATACAATCGTTGGCCATGACCTGGTATTCCCTCTCTTACATACCCTATGCACGGGATGCGGTCAAGAAGACCGTCTCGGCATGTTTCGAGGTCTAGACAGAATGAAACGTTCTCGCTGCGTTTCGGTATTTGTACATAACTCGAGAATTTCAAAATACGTCTCTTAATTTAATTAACAAAAATTGATTAAACAACAATTGTATTAATCTAGCATTAGCACGTAGATATTGATTTTACATTTACTTTAATTTTCGCCCATTCACAAGTATTGCCTTTGGTTCTCCTTTTTCAATAAATATATATATACATATATAGATATATATATATTATATACATATATACATTTACATATGTTTTGTATTTAATTTAATCAGTACAGTTTTCATTGAGTGTATGTACAACGTGTGATTCCGTTCTTTGATTTGCTTTTGTCTTTTCCACATTGTCGGTTTGTTTGTTTAGTTTTTGTTTGTTTGTAGCTTTCAGTTTTTAACTTATTTCACCTTCTTTTCTTTTTGCGGCGTCAAGTTACCTAAAAGAGCGGAGACGAAAGGTTTTTTAGATCGTTTGAAAAGTAACAAAATGAGTTAAACTATTTTAATTTTAATGTCGTAGTGCGCAGTGCTTGGGGCATCAATGGATTTACTTCTCGACACTTGTGCTATTTATTTGATGGCAATGCAATCCAAAGAGAAATAGAGAGAGACAAAATAGATAGATAGAGAGAGGGGGAGAGATGGCAGGGAGAATCATGAGTTCAGAAAGACGGAGAATTGCGATTAAAACAATTGAAAGAGAGCCAAAAATTAACACAAAGTCAAAAAGTGCAGATAAAATGTTAGCTATAAATCAGAAGCAACATTGGAAGTATTAACAATGAAAATTGGTTCATATATTCAAGATTATCTACCCGTCGAAGGCTCAATTGATTGCGTAGGGTACATGTACATACATATATCACTGTTAATCTTCAGTTTATTCCCCATTTTCATCTTATTCTAACCAATGTTGTCTGATGGCCTAAGCTTGAACTTGGACGTACCTTTTGATGGCGACGGCGATGGCGAAATGGCAGGACTTTGGTTTTTTCTCTTCGTGGGCAACGAGGTTTCCTTTTTCAGCTGGCGTTGCTGCAGGAGATAAACAATAATTTGTAATACTGGAAATGGCAGACAATGGCAGATTGTAGGCGACAAACCTGCCATAAAACAGCTACAGCCACAAATGCCACCGAGATGATCACTTGAATCGACAGCCACAGGACAATGTTGATGGCTTGCGTGCGCTCAAACAACTCCTTGCCATTCTTAATGCAAAGAATGGCCTCGGAGACCATGATGGCGCCGTAAACCCAACACTGGGTGCCGACTCTCTTGCAGCGAGTATCAGTGACATATACATAATATTGCCTGCAAAAGTTGGAACAGCCATATAAAAAAGGTTTTGGGGTTGGGAGACGAAGAACACACCTGACCGATGGCGCCACAAATAGACCAATGAATATCAGACGTCCAATAACAATGAAGTGATCTGGTGGCATCTCGAAGATATGCTTCAAGAAGAACGTATTCAATTCTGTAACCTGCCAGAAGATGACCAGCTGAATGACGGCCGCAAATCGCATGGCCGTTGACTTTGGATCCAGCCAGCGAATGGCCGTCCAGCTCTCCGGAGTAAACTGCAGCATGGCACGCTTGATCTTGCCCGTTGTGGTGGATATATCCTTGATGCTGGCCCACTTGTATTCCCGCATTTCGAGCATTTTACAGATCCAGAGGCCGACGTAAATTCCCAAGCCATTGCAGATAATCACATCCAGAATGAGTGCATCCCACCAGCATTCGATAAAGTTCGGCAGTAGATGGGCAAAGGTGATCTCGGTGATTTCCCACATCACCGATATGGCCCACAGAATGCCCATGTGACGGATGAGGATGGCCTTGAAGGCCCAGCCTAGGAAGTGGCCCCAGGCAAACACATCCAAATGTCCCTTGACACGGTCCCAGCTGATGTCCGTACAATTGACACCGTATTCCTGAAATAGACAAAGACCGAGATACAATGCATACATGCATACTGCAGTACTAGAAGCCATAGGAATATGCCATTGCTACCTTTTCCATGTCGATGTGAAAGTTCTTCAGTTTGGGATCGATCCAATAGAATATGCTCCGTATTGTTGGATAGTTTTGGAACATCAGAAACTGCAGCGAGAGCAGATACAGCACCGAACAGCCAAACAGTATCCTCCAGAAGGCCGGATGCGGCCTCGTAAATGGTCCATTGGGTAATGCCAGCACCGAGATGATCAGAAAGAAGAACACAATGCAGAGGAGGCCGGCCCAAAGATTATCGTCCACATTCGTCTCGTTTCTGAAAGGATATAGCATGGGCATGCCCATTGGGTAAATGAATTGATCTCTGGCTATGATGTCGAATTTCTCTGCTCTCTGGTCTGACAGACCATTCCTTATCAGCATAGTCGCACGTTTCGGTTGCGGGGTCAATGAATTGTGCTGTATGTAGCCGTAGTTTATCGTCGTTTTGTTTTCGCTCTCTATATATGTACTATATATACGTGCGTATTTTAGTTTTGTGAACCTTGAGCCGCCTGAAATGACACTTTTGGCAGTGTATGCATGCATGACATTTACTCGTTTGCCTCAAACACTTTCGATACAAGCAAGGTCCGCCACACATCATGCAACGAAAGATCAATAGTGTCGCGGTCATTGTCGTCGGGTCGGTGGTTGCTCCTTACCTGACAAAGGCAGTGTACATCACGGCCAGCACGGAGACGGCCAGCAGTGTGATGGTGTGGGGCTTGTAGAAAAAATCCAGTGAAATGTCATCCACAGGACGTTCGTTGACAATGACAAAGGTCTTGGCGATTTCCTCCTTGCGTTTGCGTTGTGCTCCAGCACTGTTGGTACCATTGTCGCTGCCACGCCGTTCCTTCGTTGGGGTGGCAGGAGCACTGGCTGCTCCTGATTTGTACGCAGGTGGGTGATCACCATCGGCCGACGGCGTACCACGTGAGTTGGAACGCTTCTTCATGGCCTGGCTTCTAGAAAGTCACTCTAAATTTGATTATCAGATGTAAGCGGATGGCGTGATGGTGGGGTGGCGCTGGCGGTGGCGGCGTTGTTAGGCGGACTGATTGCTGCTGATGGGTGGTGTGGTGGTGGCTCAAATACATGCGGGGAGAGCAGCGGGTTGCGCAACATTCGTTTGTCGGCTTGATTTCTACGGCTTTGCCGCTGTCAAAATCGCCCTGGTCCGTGTCCTGTGTCAGCTGTCAGCAATGCCTCACGCATAGATGCCCGATTTGTGTTAAATCAATGTGATTTTATTTAATCTTTTGCCAGCAATGTCTATTGTTGTTAATTAACATGCGCGCGGCAGTGTGACAGTTTGACTGCTTAGCCCACTTAGCCCCCTCTATTTAAACAGTTCAACGACTTGAGGTGAATGGCGTCAAAAATTACTGATTGTAAATTCTTCTTGTAGACTCTGAACTCAAAAAAAGCCACGATATCTTTCACCTGAACAGCGCAAAAATATATTCAATTTTAATTTTTTTTGGCGGATTATTAATGTACCCCCTTGGGGGTACAATGGGTTAATTGTTCTCCGTCAAGGATTGGATACCATATTTCTCGATTTTGATATTCCGTGGAATATTACTAGCTACATAGATCTCTCAGCCCTGCACACCCAATTTTATCCAGTTAATGATTTAATTTTCTACTTGACTGGCTTGTTTTAAATACTTGACTTATTTTCCTGCGACGGCAATTCCGTTAATTGTTTTTGCCCCAATTTTGGCGCCTCAACAACAATATATCGTCTCGTATATCGATAAGAAGTCAACTTAGCCCACTAAACCTCCCTCTATTTAAGCAGGATAAGAACTTAGTTAAACCACGGAAAATAGTACATATAGTACATAATTCTTCTTGTAGATCCATCTATTAAAAAAAAACCACAATATCTTTCACCTGAACTGAAAGCACTGCCCTACACGTAAAGTGATAAGACAGTGTTGTCAGACGGTCGCAATTTCGCTCCCAACGCTGGTAAACAGCTGATGGCACATTAGGCACACTTGTTGAAAGAAAGAATTCTGAAATTATTATATACCATAAGACAATATTATGTTGGACAAAGTTAAGAACGTGATTATAGTGCTCTCTGGAAAGGGTGGAGTGGGAAAGTCGACTGTTAGCACACAACTGGCGCTGGCACTACGCCACTCCGGACACAAGGCAAGTGCCGGGCTAACTATTTCACAATGAACCTGCAAACCGGATGCGTAATTGTTGTATTTTCCTTTTAGGTGGGCCTGCTGGACATAGATCTGTGTGGTCCCAGTGTACCGTTCTTGCTGGGCCTCGAGGGGAGCAATATTTACCAGTGCGACGAAGGTTGGGTCCCCATTTACACGGATGCGAGCAAAACTCTGGCCGTGATGTCGATTGGATTTCTGCTAAAGAATCGCACGGATCCCGTGATTTGGCGTGGTCCCAAAAAGACCATGATGATACGCCAATTCCTCACCGATGTCAAGTGGGAGGAGCTGGACTATTTGATCATCGACACGCCACCCGGCACCTCCGACGAGCACATAACCGTCATGGAGTGCATGCGTGAAGTGCCCTGCAATGGCGCCATCATTGTAACAACGCCACAGAGCGTGGCGCTGGATGATGTGCGCAAGGAGATCACATTCTGCAAGAAGACGGGCATCAAGCTACTGGGTATTGTCGAGAATATGAGCGGGTGAGGATCAGGTTTATGGAGGCGGCGGCACCTATCACCTTTGATCAACTTACTACGACTTTCGTTTGCTTTTCACAGATTTGTTTGCCCCAATTGCACAAACTGCACCAATATCTTCTCCTCGAACGGCGGCGTGGAGCTGGCGCATCTCGTTCAGATACCACATCTCGGCACTCTGCCCATAGATCCACGCGTGGGCGTGCTTGCCGGCTCGACAGCTTCTGTGCTGGACGAGTTGCCCGATTCGCCAACGGCCCAAGTTCTGAGGGGAATAGTTCAGCACTTGGTTGCCCTAACATAGATTAAAAACTGATTGGATTGGTAAGTTTTTCGTTTACTTTGGTTTTATTTTTGCATCATTTTGTTTCTGCGTTTAATGACTAAATTGTTTAACAATAAAATGAAATGAATATGGGAATGCAGGAATGCAGTCAATCCGTTTGAGGGGAACAAATAATGTATGTGTATCGTATATATTTATGTATACATATATAATTTATGAGTGAGAGTAAGTATATAGTATGTTTATAGTAGCACTACAAGGTCGTTTAATAAGTTTTGCGGTTCGATAAGAGAGGGCGTTACGACTAGCCTAATTTTTTGTTTGTTATTTTGGTACATCTTTTTTTATAATTTAATTTAATTTAATTCAATTAATTTCCACGTGGTCGTACGAACGAAATATTTTGACTGAAGTCTTGGGTTTCAGAAAGCTGTGCAGAATGGGTGCCGCATTCGCTAAAAATTAAAAAAATTAGAGGGTTTTCGAAACGATAAAGTGCATTTTGGGCTAAAGGGTGGTATGAACCTGGTTCTTCGGCTCTTAAACGAGTTAGTGTCCAGAAGTTGTTAGTATCAGTTTTATAGGATGCGAAAGAAAGTTTGTTTGTGGACCACTTGCAAACTGGTAAAACAATGAATTCCGAATATGACTATATCCTTTTAGACCAGCTGAAGGAAAAAATTCGTGAGAAAAGACCCAATTTGCAGAAGAAATAATTATTTTTCATCAAGACAATCCACCACCATGTCACAAGACCATTTTAAAATTGGCTAAAATCCATGAATTAAAAATTGAATTGCTGGAGCATTCACTGTATTCACGAGACTTGGCACCTAGCGACTTCCATCTGTTTTCATAAAAGCTAAGGCCCTTCCGGATTCTAACTTCTGGGATGGAACTCGTAGATTTAAATCTCGTTGGAACAAGTTTTTTGATGTTCAGGAAGACTATACTAAATAACAAAGTGTATTTTAAACCCTTAAATTGTGTTTTTCTTATCGAACCGCAAACAACCTTGTATGTGGGCCAGCTGCCAAAATAAAGTTACGTGCGACGACGACGACCACCACTCAAAGCTATTTTTAATATTTTATAGAGAGTTACGTCGGAATCATAGTATAATTTACAATCAATCTAAACAGTCCGCCTTTTAATACTTAATCCAATCTCGTTTTCTTTCCCTTCCCTTCCCTTCGCTTCTCTTCGTTTAGTTTCCTGCAGTTTTGTCTATCTTTTCTTTTCGCTATTTAGAGTTATCAGAAAATAACGTAAACTATCTTAATGGAGGCTTAAACATAATTCTTACTCTTTGAATTTGAGCATAGCCTTAAGATCTAATAACCTTTGCACACTTTTCCAACAGCTCTCGGATAGAAATACATTTGAAAGATCTATTGACTCCGTCAATTCGGAGTATTTTTTTTTTTCTTAAAAAATACTGGATACTGGAACCGTTGCTGTCGTTCGTCCATCGATTCGTTTCGTTTCGGTTTCAATGTCTGCTTCTGTATGGTTCTCCTTGCCCTAGTTGGGCGGAAAATGTGTGTGTGTTCTTTTCGGTTTTCATTTTTGTTGATGGATCTGATAAGGTTATTTCTCTCTCTCTATCTCTCTCTCTCTCTCTTCTCTATGTCGTATCACTATTGCAGACTTTTTCCACTGTTTTGGTTTAATTTGTTCTAGATGGATTGGACCACTAGAGGGTAAGATCAAAAATCAGTCTGCAGAGAGGATGAAAGAGGCACCACAATAAAAATGCTAGTTCTGCAATTCTTCCTTGACAGGCTCACTGCCGATGGGCGTTAGCAATGGAGATAGCCCCGTATTGCCCAACGGCTGTGGATTGGCTTGTGATACCTCACGGTAGTCCGTGTTTTGCTTCTTGCCATTGGTTTGCTTCTTGTGGACAAAGCAAAAGTAAAAGATGGCAAACACACACACGAAAAAGACAACAAAACCGACAACAACACCGGGAATCGAGATCCAACGCTTGACACCATCCTTCTCCACAGGCACAGCATCTTCCAAGACTGTGCGAGTGGTCCTGTCCGTGTTATTGGATCCAGAAACCAGTCTGGTCGACTGGGGTGCTGGCGGCGGTGGTGGCTCCGATGTGCTAGGATGATCGCTGGCCGCCTCTGGCAGCGAATCTTCAGTGGATGTGGTCACGGTCTCCTCTGAGCTAATCTCATCGAGCATCTGTGAGGGGGTGCTCTCGTTATTGAACTCAATTGAGGATGACCCCGTTTCGTGTGGATTGGTAATCTGATCTTTCTCCATTGAGAAGGCATCCGTTGAGGTTTCATAGACCGAGGTGGTTGTGGAGCCGCCTTCGTCGGTAGTGTCAGAGCTTGCAGTGAGATCTGTGGTTGGCTTTGTGGAATTGGCATCCAAACTTGAATACTCATCAAAGTCCGGGGGGGCTACGGGGCCCTCGCTGGCTGGCGACGACTCCATGGTCGTGGCATTGTCGCTTTCAGTGGAGCTATCGATCGTCGTGCTGGAGGTTGATGGAACATCACTTGGCTCGTTTTCGGTCGAGGAAACGGAACCAGTAGTTGTTGTGTCGGTGCTGGAATATTCATTCGAGGGATCAACCATCGCAGCAGTGGTATCCTCGATCTTCTCAGTGGTGCTGGTGCTGCTGCTGGTGCTGCTGCTGGTGCTGCTGCTGGTGCTGGTGTGATTTAGAGCCAGTGAAGGTCCACTGGTGGTGCCCGCTATTGAGGGTCTGATCAGTTCCTCTTCGTGTTCGGCGGGACAGACCGGACAGCAGTCGCCCTCTCTCTGAATGGGATTCTCACAATCCGGCTCCAGACACTGGGTGGCCTTGCAGGATCGCTCACTCTGCTGATCGCATTCGCATGTGGTGCAGCCGTTATTCTCCATCCAGATATCACCCTTCATTTTGGGCTCCTCGTTGAAGGTCAGACAGTTGAGCAACTGCTCCGACTCGCTCGATGGACAGATGGACAGGCAGATGGAGCAGGTCTTGCACTCAATGCACGCGTTCGGATAGTATCGAATGGGATTCGAGCGATCGCAGACGGGCATTTCGCTGACGCACTGGTAGCGCGAACAACAGCTGCCCGGCTCTCCGGTGCCGCGCACGACCTCAACGAGCACCTGATCCGGTTCACATTCGGGCCGCTTCTCCGGACAGCTCTGGCATTTGTTCGTGTCGATTTCCAGAATGGGTATCGCTGCAAAAGGAAGAGAGAAAGGTGTGAATAAATTGTGGGTACTGTCTACACACATAGGTACTACATATGCAGCTTGTTGGTTCAGTCTATTAATACGCGTTGAAATTTTGACAATGCTGAAATGATTTCTAACAACACGACATCTGGCATGTGTGCAGATGAAAAAGCTGCCAAAGTAAATTTCCTTTTCGTGTGGCGAAATCAATGCAAAAATGCAAACAAATGCATTTCGAGTATTCATCAAATCACAGATATACTCATGCTCCTTCGGCCATTACGAATCCCGCTTCCAGTTCGATTCGAATCACCCCTGTGATATTCGATTTGTGGGCAAAGTGGATGTGTGTAACGCCCAGAAGGAAGCGTTTCCGATCAACATCAAAAGCCGAGTCGATTGAGTCATGGGCGTCTGTCCGTCCCTATATTATTATTATTATAACGCATTTTCTGTGTCTCTCTCTCTCTCTCTCTCGCACTCTTCAATGTCGTTCAAAGTTAGCGCCCTCTGGCGGAGGAAAGCAATACTGTGCGAGGGTCGATCGTAAATATATGTACGTTTAATTTACGATCCCCCAACGAAAACTTGTTCAAGGTAAGGCAAGAAGGAGTCCAGAAAGATTGTGTGTTGCCCTCTCGTTCTCTTTACCAGAAAATCAAGGCAAGAGCGAGAGAGACAAAAATCTTGAATATAATATTAAATATATTGATTTTGATTTTATTGAAATTTTCAATCAAAACTTTTTCACTTTCTTTTTACAATTTATGATCTCGAAGCGAATCTATGGGTCTAAATTTTGAAATTCAATTGTAAACATTGAAAAATTTCCGGGCACACACAGGGGGTGTGTAGAGATTCCATGCACCTGACCTTAAGAAGAATATTTACTCGTAAATATCAACAAAATTTCAATAAAGCCTTGAACTAGAATATAAAATTCCACTCAATGCCACAGATCACATAATTGTAATCAGATTTTAATGAATTGTTCAATATAATTTAGGATATAACAAGTTCCAAAACTGATTTGAATGCCCTTCAAGTTCAATATTAGCATATAGCCGTATCGATCTTGAATTCCAGACTCTAGTCCACATTCTATATAGTCACTGAATTATTCAATAGATCTGGAGGTAAATTTATAAAAATTGCAATTTGATTAGAGAGTTTGAGTTTGAGCCAAAAAAAGCGCACAATCAAAACAAAACAAAACCAAACTAAACAAAACAAAGGAAAACAAAAACAAAAACGAACTGAAATTTCTATTTGGGGGAATACAAAGTACGCGAGTGACAATCTCGTTTATCATTTATTTATTGTTATTGATTTTTGACATTTTATCATTGAATTAGTAAGGGAGGAGGAGTGCCGGTGGGATGTAGAGCGATAAAGAAATTGTGGCGGGGGGAGGGGGGAAAACGGAAAAAACAATTGCAATGCAAAACAAAACAAAACAAAAGAAAAACTGAAAGATTTCTTTTGGATCGATTGAGTCAATTTGGGGCCCGGCTATAGCTCCAATTTGTTCATATATTTTTGATACGAGTATTACAAAATTCCATGCCCCCATCTTTTACAGACTCCCGTCCATGCCGCCGATCAATGATCAATGATCACGAAGGTTATAGAGAGAGAGAGAGAGAGAGAGAGTATATTTTCGATATTGACGTCACTGTCGAAGACTTTGTAGGTGAAGCGCATTTAATTGAACGTAATTTAAAATAGATATAAGTTGTTGTAGTTGTTGCTTTGTTTGATTCTTTGGCTATCAGGTCGAAGCGATCTATATGACAGCCCCGATGCGACGCACAGTGCGGGCAAAATACATATTTTCCAAATGCCAGCGACGTTCGTGCCACACGTTTTGGATGGCAGATCAAAGCGGCAGATCATATTTTAAAATGTGACAAATAATGCAATAAACCAAATACAATAGCTGGTCGATAATCAAAAACATCCCACTTATTCCATACATTGCATTTATGCCAAAAATATGAGACTAATTTTCCCATGCAGGAAAATATATATATTTAACAATTGAAATTCTAAAAGACCATATAAGACCATGGCATCCATGGAAGGAAAGTTTCTGGGAATAGAAATACTAACAATACAAAGGAAAGATCTATGAAAGAAGGCTTCTGTTTGGATTAAATTCTTTTGCTGCTAAAAAAAAAACCCCGATAAACAAGACACAAAACCGAAAAGAATTCCATTCTGAATCTAGTCGCTGGGTGTAAAATGCTTTTGCAAATTATATTTAAATGCTTAGCCAGACAATTAATGTCTATATATGGTGCATGATTATGGCCTTCTTTTCTCTAGATATTCATTATACATATTTTTCGTCTTTTCCCTCTTGGGGGTTTATTGACCCAAACGTGTGTATGGTATAGTAATACTTTTTATCGCCGTTTGGGTCAGTCAGCAAAAAGTAAAGAGTATATACATATATATCAAGAGAGGAGAAGGAGAAGGAGGAGGAGGAGGAGGGTTCCAGGTTTCAACGGTTCCAAAGGTTACTACAGTGTAGATACTCGTACAAATTCAATGCAAATTACCTAAGCATATATCCGCCTCATAAATGGGTCGGCACTCATTAGCAGAGAGATCTCAGATGATTATGATGATTATAGGGGATCAGAGACAGAGGCAGAGAGAGTCAGAGGCAGAGTCAGAGCAACCAGCAGAAGTGCGACTACTCACTTACGTCACCTCACAGCCACAGATACAGATACAGATACAGATACAGATACACAACAACCAGATACAACAACAGATCTTGAAGCTACACAGGCGCTCAGGCGATCCATATTTCTTTTTGATTGATCTACAGTCGAAGGTTGGCATGCAAAAATGCAATTCAGGGAGCGAGGAGAAGCCCCAACCAGCACAGCACACAAACCAGATACTCGTACTCTCTGACGCGCTATGGCGGCGTATCTCAAAAACGAAAAACGAAAAAAAAAAATAAATATAAATTCCAGTACAATTAGCAGTCGGTTATATTTTTTGACACGCTGCCTGTCAGCGCCGGCTCGTTGACATGCAAAGTTACTTAAACATAGAGCTTGGAAAAATCACACAACAGACAACACACAACAGACAAGAGACAAAACAAACATTACATTACTACACGACAATATAGCTAGAAACTACCTAAAAACCAAAACGGAGGAGGTCGTCGTTTATGTCTATTTCATATCTTAAAGGTCTCGAGTCTTTTCGTCAGCCAGGGGCGTGCATGTACCTGACTGAACGCTAGCCATTACATCCCCTCTCACAAATAAGTGCTGTTTTTTCCATATTTTTTCCTTCTTTTGTTTTTGCAGTTGATGGAGTAATTAGAGACGAACGAATGCCCATTCAGATTCTGTTGAAATTTCGGCGTGTTTCCCCATTTGGCAATCGTGTTGAACCATCATCATGTGGAATTGTCGCATTGTGTTTGCCGAGAATTATCATATTTACGTACATTTTATCACATTTGATGGGGCAGATACTCGCATGGGCATTAGGTGAGCCATAAAGCTGTGACCATGAAGGGAATTACTTGCTAAACTGTGATTTATCAACAGTAATGCGGTAGCAATTAGTGATCACTGATGGTCACTGAACTGATGACTGAATGTTCACTGATTCCATGGTTGAATTGTTCTTTATTTTTTTTTTTACATAATACATATAATTCTTTTCTAATTTTTTCTATTAATTAGTTAGTTTTAATTTTCATAATAAACATTTAAAATATAAATCATTTTAAGTAAATTAAATAAAAAAATATAAATGCATTAATAAAAATAAATTAAATAAATTAAAAAAAAAAAAAATTTTAAAAAATAAAATAAGTAATACCAAATAATATAACAAAATAAAAAATAAAAAATATATAAAAGCCTAGGTGATTTTTTTCCCACATTGATTTTTGTTAAACTAATAATACTTGTTTCTGATCGCTGGGAAAAATCTCGTATCTCTTTAAAATGCACAATCGAGAGAGTATCTTTTTTCTTAAAAACAGTGACTAAATCTTAATAGAATATTTTATTTCTGAGTAAAACGTACACTCAATCCCATTAGCGGTATCTTAAACCCCAAGGCGAGTATTCAAATATTTCATTCCAGCATTGATGTGACTATCGATGGCTGACGCCACTGCCACTGCCACTGCCACTGCCACTGCCGCTGCCGCTGCCACCTCCCTCTGACCAATGAACTATGACAGTGATTTAGAGTGATATTTAAGTTCCAATGAAATGGCCGGTAAAAATGTGACCCGAAAGCCTGAGTAATCAGTTTTTATAGTTTGTGCAAAAAGGTATCCTAAATACAATCGTACAAAGGCTATCAATCTTCATGTGTCGCCGTAAGTAACCGTGATTTATGCGATTTAGAGCATATGGACTCTCTCGCACTCCCAAAGGCGACGATCTCTTTCCGCATTGTCTGGCAATTAAGTGGCAGTGGCATAGACCATAGACCATAGACCCCATGATTCAATGATCGCCGCACTATTCAATGATTGTCCGGCACTTCACGCTAAGCATTACCATTACCATTAGCATTAACAGTCTTTCCTTTTGGCCAATAGTCCGGCATAGTGTTTTTTCTGGCACTGTTACCCCCACCCCCCCCCACAGTTATAGAGTAGAATTTATTTATGACTGCTCTGCTAATTCGCTGGAATTGCGTAAACAAAACATTTTCGCATGCCGAGAGCTTTCTTTTTTCGGCCGGCGGCGACAGGCGTAGTAAAACCTTATCTTAATTATAGATCAATTATAGTAGTGGTAGCCGTCACATGTACATATGCTTAGGAACAGAATAATAGAACAGAACCGAACAGAACATCATTAATTATAAGTGCGAAAAGTCGGTCGAACAGATGTGTGCTGTGCAAAAAAAAAAAAAAAAAAGGTAGGCCCTGAAATGGAATGGATTGTAATGATTTTTGCAACTCCATTTGGGCTTTTATTTACCCTTTTGTTGGGCCCAAACCAGACATATCTGTTAGCCCGACCTCCCAAAAAAGTGAGACGGATAGAGAGAGAGAGAGAGAGAGAGAGAGAGAGAGGGTGTATGGGTAATTATTTCGTATTATTTTATACAAATTGCACAATTACAATTAAATTATACGGCAAAGCGTAAAAATGTCTGATTAATGACAAACTGGGGAGGAGGAGGAGGACTGGCCGGGATGGGATCGCCAGCGGAACAGATGTGCGCGCTGATATTCAATTTATATATATATTTTATATTTTTTTTGTATACAAAATAATAATTATAATTATGGTTAAATAATTACTGTATTGGGACCAGCAATATGTGTCTGCACCAGCATTCAGTATCATGACTGACGCCTTTCTGCTGGGATTATTGGTGTTCTCGGCGGCGGTGGCCGTTCTCTTGGAGCCCCTGCTGGCGACAGTACGTAACAGATGTCGCCCCCCCCCTTCGCACCATATACCACACAAAACATATACAATATACAAAATATATGTGTGTATAATTTGTGCACGTTGCCTACTTATAGAGAGACTTTGAGATACGTTGGCGCACCATCAACTGCACGGCCATTGACCCGGCCACAACGGCCGCCTTTCACTGCCTGATCGTGGAGCTGCCCAAGCGGCAGGGAAACTTCTTGAACACCCGACTCCTGCTCAACCGACCCGTGTCCAAGATGTGGGTGGATATGAGCGTGGGCCAGGTCGGTGGCACTGGCACTGTCCAGAACCTGATGAAGGTGCGCGTGGATGCCTGCCATCTGATGGGATTCCGCAGCAAAAATCGTATACTGAATGCCGTTCTCGGGAAGCTACTGCAGTCGGGCAACTATCCCAAGGCCTGTCCACTGTTGGGGGTAAGTAGTAGGATGGCTCTTTTCAACTTGATCTTGAACTGCAGTTCTGCACTCATCATTTCCGACCTAGGTATAGACCTCTATTCGGTATACGTAATATCCCATAGTCTTTGTGTACACAAATCCTCCAAGCAGCCAAGAATTTACCAGAAAAACACACACAGGGAAATTGTTGAAAAGCCCCCGATAAACAAGATATTATCGTATATTGTATGTCTAAATATGTCTATGTTTATAAACACATCAAATGCTTATTAACCGAAAATAGAGCTATTGCAAACTGAAGTGAGAGGCCCAGGCAATGGAAGCCCCAAACCCAAATCGATTTTTAAATATCATTCTCATTTTTTTTTGTTTTTCCTGTTTTTCTGTAAAAATTGTGCAATGCCTAACGAGTTTTCGATACCGATTCGATTCGATTCGATTCCATTCCATTCCACAGAATGTCAACTATACGTCCACACATTTTGCCCTCAATCCGGATCACTTTCCAGCCTACATGCCGGACATGAAGTTCAACACGAAATTGGTTTTCTATCTGAGCAAGAATATCACCCTGATTAGGGCCAGTGTGGATGCCGAGGTAATGAGGCGATCGTAGATACATACACAGTCCAGGCACAGCCACAGCCCCAGCCACAGCCACCGGTTCCAATAGAGAGAAACTCAAAAACCAAATCCAAAAACCATGACTAACTTGGGAACGGAGAGTGACTAATGGCCTTGGTATGATTATTATCCATGGCATTCTCTAGATTAGAGCCGTGTCTAAAGCTAAAGCAAATAATAAATCTGAGGAATGCCTTATTGATATATATATATTTTTTTTATCAGTCTTCAGGGTCTGTACTATGAGACAGCCCATCTTCCTCGTGGCCAAAGTGATGTAGATACTCCTTAAGGTACGTCTTTATGTACCGTACCCGTGGCATCCCATCTGAGTGCCTCTGTGCCTCCGTGCCCCGACTACGCCGTATGCCATCCAGTGTGTCTGCTGCAGGTGCTCTCTGAATGACTTCTCGAATTTCTCGAAATTTTCCACCTTGCATGGCTCTGCACAACTGTACCTCCGACACATTCCTTTCCTTCTCTGCGCTCCGCATTTTATTTGGTGTCGGCTCGTTTTCGGTTTCTCTATTTTGTTGATATTGCGGGTGCACAAAAATAACAGATTAAGAGCTAGGGCTCTGGCATTTAAATTAAGAAAATGACGTGAGCCAACGCTGACCAACGGTAACAGATTTAGCCGAAAGAAAAGTGCCCCACGAGACGCACAAAACGCTAGGAGCGATTCAGATTCAGATTCAGATTCGGAATCAGAATCAGTTTGTTTTTTTTTTTCATATGTTAGTTCAATGCAAAGTTGTTGATTCATGGACGGCAGGCAGGTCTCTTATCGGTGGGAATACGTCATTTATTTAGTGGTAAAGAGCCAAAAAGGGGTTTTCTATTTGAGTTGTATGGGAAATATCCCAATATTTTAATGGGTCAATGCCATTAGCATGAAAGCCACAACAAAGGTCACCATGGAGAGGTGCAGAAAGGTGGTGTCATGGGGCTGGCAGACCCAGGAGACCCACCCCTAAGACAACTCCCGAAACGACGGGGGTAAAGTCTGAAATAGCTCACTTAGTGGGTTAGTCACAAGAGGCCTTTGGTGGGGAGACGGGCACGGGAGACTCAACGCGCAAGAATGCAGGCCGGCATACTGCTGTAGTTCTCGATTTCATTCCGGTAATGGAAAACTGTTTTTCGAGGGATGGAGCCCCAGGTAGAGTGCCCCAATTTGAGAGTAGTTTCTTCTAGAGAGAGGGCGAGAGAGAGAGAGAGAGAGAGTGTAGAATGTGGTACACCTCCAGCCCTGCCCCTGCCCCTGCCCCTACCTCTACCTCTACCTCTGGTTTCCCATTTGTTTGCGCCATTCCGAAGTTCACTTTATCGTATTCATCTGGATGGAATTTATTTGGCAAACACTTGGGGCTCTGCCATAACAAAACAAAAACTAGCTGTAGCTCCGGCTCCGGCTCTAGCTGTATCTGTATCTGTATCCGTATCTGTATCTGTCGTTGTGTCACCACTTTTGATAAGAATGCCACCAGATTAAGATGGAATTCCAAATAAAAGTGTGTTTGCTTCGTTCTTTTGTATTTCCACTTCTGTGCTCCTTCTTCTATTCAAAATCAAGACTCCACTACGGTTGAGTTGAAGGTTAAGTTCATTCGATTTTGTGCAAGATTAATGCACATTTTCCTTCAGATATGAATCATCGATGGATAGATGGTCACAGGGTGGACTGAGGAGGGCGAGGAACTGCTTGATGTTGGGCTTCTTTCCTTGTTTTCCACAAAGATGACTCTCTGAGAGTCTGGCCTTACATATCTCTTGCCTTTATCTCCTTAAACTTTCCAAGACTCTTTTAATTCGGTTCCTAAATTATTGAGTTTCCTCCGATTCCTGACCTATATAATCTCCAAACCCCCACGCAAAAAAAAAACACCTACATAGTTCAGACGCCAAACGACGCTAACATTGAACGACAAGGAGTGTGTGCGAGAGGGACAGCAAATCAGTCAGAACGTGTCGTCGGATCCGATTGATCCGATCTGATCCAGATTCGTCATTCTCTATGATTGTGCGTATTATCAAAATTGCGCTTTAATAGTCTCTGAGATCTGTGGATGCCACAGGTTAACGTCCTTTGCGGGGGCGTAGGGGGACGGATGGACGGATGGACGGACATGACTCAATCGACTCGGCTCTTGATGCTGTGGGGTCGGAAACGCTTCCTTCTGGGCTCCTCCTCCACTTTCGCCACAAGTCGAACATACCCTCAAACTTATTTTGATTATCGGGTACAAAAAATACGCACACACATACAAATACAGACTTTACGCCGCCTTTTTGAATTATCAATGAAATTTCGAAACGAAAACCAAAACAAAACCCAAAGAGAATCAAACATTAAAGCAAAAGAAATAAAGAGCGATATACCGACTATCAGATACCCCTATATCGCTATTCAGATCTGAGCGGATTTCAATCAGAAGAATATATAATCAGTATCGATCAGGATTCAATCAGTATCAATTCAGAATGATCTGCCAATGGGGAAGGAAGTTCCGAATGTTCCAAATATTGGATGCCACAGATGATATTCAATGTTGCGTATATACCCCACAAGAAGCGCAACATGTGGTTGGGCGAGAGAAGCGAGCAAGAGGCCAGAGAACAGAGAACAGAGAGCGAGAGAGAGGGAGTGGGGGAGTGGGGGAGAAATCGCGAATGGAAATAGTTTCAGACGCGTCATAAGATCGCAAGCTATGCCGCCGCTATGTATAGGCACATGATGCTGCCACTGTGACGTAGATCGGGGCGCATTTGTTCTGTTTTTTAAGAAATCTCCCATCTCATCGATGACTTAACAAAAACAAATGTATTGATATCCATTTAAACGAGTGAATCACCCTCATTATTGCCTCGAAATAGGCATTTTTTTATGAACTAATTTTAGCATTATTCACTCACCCAAAACACCGTCCAGTCCAATCCAGAACACAACGAGGCAACAAAAAATAGTGCTAAACTTGGCCATTTCACACGTGAACAAAATATATATTGTATAGCCACAGTATACCGCACTATTATGTTCGAATCAAATCTTTCGATTGTTTGTTGTCGCTTAAGACACGCTTTAAAGCCGCACTGAAACTCTGAAAATAAACAAAAGTATCACAGAAATTAGAAGAACGTTTTATGGCACTGCTGAAAATGTGATTCATGTCATACCACAAGAAATATTGAGAAAAGCCAACCGGCTGGCAGAACTGCGCGAAAACGACTGGGTTTTGGGGTTAAATCGATTCCGAGCCCTTATCTGCATTATCCTACATACACACTACTGGCCAACAAAATAAGTACATCGGTGTTGTGCTCATTTTTGTATGGAATAGCTCGAATTTTTGTAAATGTATGGATGTTATAGTCTTGCCAAAAGTCTATGCTTAAACTTTTGCTGAATGGGCATTTTTTTGGTCTGGCCAAAATAAAATTGAAAGGATTTGATAGGGAAACAAATTCTATACAGGATACTGGCATTAGATTACAAATAATAAGTGAAAAGTGGTCGAAAAGTGTAAAAATGTTGATATGCTTTTGGTTTTTCGCTTTGTAGAAATCTCATAAGCGTGTACCTATTATTTTGCCCAGTAGTGTACGAATGCACAAGTTTAAAACACCAGTGGCTTCTTAGCCAGATTAGTCATGCCTGAAATCTGTTGAACTTCAGTTCCAATCGGGGGCCTCTCCACCCTTGTCTTTCCTTCAAGAACACATATTTTTGGGCCTCAGATACAGATATGCGAATATATCATTTTGTGAACCCGCCGAGTGCCGAGTACATTCTGATTAAAAGACACAAGACGGACACACGCCTTTCCCACCTTTTCTATTGTTGTGTGGTTACTGTATACCCTATAGAATATGTAGATTAAAAGGGTATATGGGAGGTGACAGTATTCTAGATAAAGATGAGCAATCAAGTTTGAAGTCTTTGCATTCTTGTCATATCCACTGCATCCACTGGGAATCTATAGCATAGTTATAACGAAGATAGCATATCACGGGTATCACCATTGTCGTTATGCATCCAATTCGATTTGGCGACCGATAAGTGCCAAAACTGATATCTCCTCACAGACAAACACACCCACATGCACATGCACACAGCACTGAGTAAAGTAAACCCAGACATGGACAGGGACAAGTATTTCTTTTTCTTCATTTTGTGTGTTTGTGTGTGTGTGTGTGTGGGGGGGGGGGGGAAATATTACATAGGTCGAGTGCAAGTACCAAGGCCAATAATATACACAGTTTTTTCCCTTATTTGGCAGAAAAGAGTGCACACAGACAGACAGAGGAGCAGAGGTGGTGCATATTTTTTTTTTGTTTATGTAAGTAGTACAGTACTCCTCGAAGGTTCCACACATTACATCACACTTTCCGGGGTGCCGTGCGCCTGCGCCTTCGCCTCCGCCTCCGTCTCCGTCTCCGCCTCCTGTTGCAGTGCAGGCGCATGTGCCGCGGCCTATCAATGAAATGCCATATAAGGAAATAACCATAAGCGTACATAACAGGCAACATTTCACAAGAAATTGCGCAGAGATTGGTTTGGTTAAAAACAAAACAAAAACAAAAACAAAAAAACAAGAAAAAAAAAATAATAATAATTCCCAGAGAATCGGAAAATTAGGTCGCCTGGCCTACGCAGATTATATACCTATGTATATATGTACGAGACCACTACATATGTGGGACAGAGACAGGCAGAAAAACAATCAATGTACAGATTTACTCGCTTTTTATGCCCGTACCGTACCGTACCGTACCTTTATTTATTTGCAAAGAGTTCAACTGATCCAAAAATAAAACGTCATTGTATTAATGTATTTTTTCTTCAATTGCCTTTTTTTTGTTTGTCCATGTTTTTTTTTTTTGAGTTTTTTTTTTAATGTTTTTTTTATGGCTTTGGCCTGCTCTGCTCTGTATTTTGTTTTGTTTCGCTTGCCGTCTAATGATACTATTTCGTTTATTCAATTCCGTTTTTTGAGTTTTTATTCGGGGCCACGCGCAGACACAACCGGCTTCAATGGATTTTCACAGCAAACTGTGTGTGAAGACCCCACGCGCCAAACGGCAAAAGCTTTTTGCAATAAATGGCGCTTGGCGCTCTCTCTACATAGCTTTATATAGTTCTCTCTCTCTCTCTCTCTCTCTGCATCTGATTCTCTTCTTCTTCTAGTTCTTCGCTGTGATCTTGTTTTTGTTTTGATAAATAAACGTTGGTTAGTGCGTAATTGCCTGGTAGGCTTGTGTTTCGGGTCACAAAATACCAGCATTTATTATCTGCACCTGCAATGCTTGCTTCGCATCGTACGTTTGTATTTTCTTTTGTTTACGTATACTTAATACAAAAAAAACTTTAAATTTAAATTACCTCTATATCGATTGTCATCTATATCAACTGTTATCGACATGGATGTGCTGCCAGACTGGCGGAAAAAGAAGCCGGCATCTGTTTTTTTTACAAAGCTGGCATCATTTAGTTTAACCAAAAAATACATGTAGATGTCATGTAGAATCATGTAGGAACGTCGAGTTCGTGTAAATATCAACAGATGGCGCCGCTGCCCTGTAGAATGTAGCAAATCTTTTTTTGCCTTCGGATTTTACAAAATTCTTGTTTTTTTTTAAAAATAATTCAATAATTCCGAAAAACTTGTAGAGATTTGATTCAGTTATCGTATGCAAGTATTTTTATAGCCCATACTCAAAGACTTTAGTTGTGTGGTGGAAGTGGATGGATGCAAAAGCCAGCAGGAAGCGTTTCCGACCCCATAAAGTATATATGTATATATATTCTTGATCATCAATAGCACAGTCGATATAGCTATGTCTGTCCATCCGGCCATCTTGATGAACACATGAACAACATCTCAAAGACTTTAAGAGCCAGAGCAACCAAATTTGGTGAACAGACTACTGTGATTTCACACTGAATCAAGTTTGTTTCCAAAGTTTCGCCACGCCCCCTACTGCCCCCACAAAGGACGAAAATCGGTGGCACTATTGTCGAAGATACGAGAAACCCGGACAATCAGGCATAGCAAGAAAACTCTTCTGGAAACGAGTCAATTTTATGGGAAAGGAGCGGGAACGTGGTGAGCCGCGGCAAGGGTCGCGGCTCTACTTTTATACCCGGTACTCAGTCATGAGCTTATGATTTATGTAACTTATAAGATATATTTTATACGTAATTATATGTAAGCGCTAGCATTGGTATGTGCCGATGGCTGTTCGCAAAAGAGACAATGCAGGGATGGGTGACTTTTGGTAGGACAGCCTTGTCACGAGAGAGGGAAAAAACATAGCTAGAAAGAGAGAAACCTTGACCGCTAGTGATGTTCTAATTGTTAATTGTTGCACTTTGTTTGTACTCTTTGATCAGAATTTGAGAGTTTTTCGCCACCACCGCACACTCTCCTCCGCCAGGGACGCACACTGCACGAAGAAGAGTGTGCGTGTGAGAGAGAGAGAGCGAGAGTGAATGAGTAAGCGCTTGGCTGAGGGGTGGCGTGGTCACTGCAAATCGATTTGTTCCTTCTGGCTTTAATAATGATCCGATCTGGTCCAGATTTGGCTTGATGCTGATCAAGAATATGCCTACTTTATGGTGTGGGAAACGCTTCCCAAACGCCTGTAACCACAAAAATTACATAGCTTGAAGCTCTTCGAGTATCAGGTATATTTGAAGTAATTTATTGAATTCAATTATGGGTTCTTTCAAAACTGGATCCCTAGCGAAACGATACCCAAATATTCGATGTGGAAGAATCAACTCCTCCGTTTGGTATTAGCTTGCATTTAATTGATATTTCATCCTACATCTCGCAGCGCCGCTGACATGTTGACATTTTCCTGGCCTGGCCTGGCCTGGCCAGCGCCGCCTTGGGGGTTTCTGTACGGCGGGGCCGGCTGGCGGGTGGTGGGGGGAGAGGGGGGGGCTTCTACTGTCACTGGGTGTACGTACGAGTGAGTGGTGGGCTCTCTTCCCTCGAACACCAACCGGCATTGGTAATTAGCACGCGCGCTGCTAATTAACACTTTCTGGAGAGGCACCTCTCCGCGTGTGTGTGTGTGTGTGTGTCTGGTGTGGTTGTGCCCCTTGCAATTCCCCGATGACTGCAAATTGCACGCGTGGCACCACCGCTGGACCGCTGCGCGCGGCATTGCTCCTGGGTTTGTGCGCCTCAAAGCGAAAATGCCGCCGCACATGTAAACCCAAAAATGGTCAAGTTGTGCCTGTTTTTTGTTTTTCTTTCTGTTTTTGTTTTGTTTTTTGGCTGCTGCCTAGTTGTCCGATTTTGGTGTCCTGGTGGGTACTCTTCCTCCTCCTCCACTGCAGCTCCTGCAGCTACAGAGCGTGAAATTTTAATTGTGCCTTTCGGGGCGTTGTCGTTGCCGGTCGATCGGTGGCCGCCGCCTCGACCCGAAATAAAGATCTCTGTGGCGGCGCACACAGCTCATCCACCAGGGCAGGTCTTCCTGCCGCCGCCCCTGCAGCCCCTGCAGCCCCTCTCCACCCGACTGATGGTGCCCCCAAAAGTTGTTCATGCCAAAAAGGTGCAAAAGGCCAAATAGTATTCTGTAGTTTATGTTGTTACATGCCTCGTTGTTGCCGCTGTGTGTCGTTTTGGATCGGACAAAAATGTCCGATGGAATTTGGTGCCACAACTGTTGAGCTTCTCTATTATGCCACTGCCTCTGCCGCTGCCGCTGCCCCTGGCCCTCTCTTTTGGAGATTTCCCTTACGAGTATCTGCACCTGATGTCATCTATGGCCACTGCAGCCAGCAGCAGCAGCAGCAGCACTAGAAGATGATCATCAAAGCAGCTTTAGGGTTATTTCTTTCCACCATCTGTGGCTCTGTGGCTGTGTGGCTGTGTGGCTCTGTGGCTGTGTGGCTGTGTTGCTGCTTTGTTGCTGTTAATGGTTGCTGCGGGCCAAATCAATTCCAGGCCCAACATGTAAGCCTTGTCTGCCGCTGCCGCTGCCGCTGCTGCACTCTTGGCCATTTTATTGGTTGACAATAAAAGTGAGCCAAGTGTTGTCTGTCTGTCTGTCTGTCTGTCTGCATTCCTCCCTCCTCCTGGCCAATGCATAATAATTATAATCCATTTAATTTTTGCAGACTCTTGCCCTGGCAATTCCATCGATCATTTGGCATCGCTCAGAGGCTAGCAATGGGGTCACGTGTGTGCGCTGACCCCTTGGCTTTGGCTTTGGCTTTGGCTGGAGTTTTCCTTTTTGCATTGTATGTACGTCAGTCAGTCCGGCAGGCAGGCAGGCAGGCAGAAAATGCCAAATATCTAATACGCTTCCACCAAAATGATCAAATTCATGGAATTTTCGCATAAAGCCAGCCAGAGACCAGGTCGTATCTTCTGCTGGCTGCTCCTCTCCCTGCCCTGCCCTGCCCTGCCCTGCTCCACCGAAACATTTCTTCTCCTTTGCGTAAAGCAAACAAAAAAACGACGACGCGACAGGTGAATCGGCCGCCCGTTGACTCTGCCCCATACGGGGATATTGGACAGACGGACGGACAAGTCGAAGCCGCGACGTTCCGTTCCATACTTGATTTCGGTTATGGGCCGCAGACGAATCTCCCCGAACCGACATTCGACTGGGTCTTGGGGCTCTGCCCCACTGCCTCTGCTGGCTGTGGCTGTGGCTGTGGCTGTGGCATCTTTTTTTGGTGTTCACATGTGCCAAATGATGTCGATGGCAGCGGGCGAGGCAAATCGATGGTACAGTGGTCTCGCTTCGATTCAAATGGACTCACATTCATGTGTTGCGTGGAACGGAATATTCTTGCCCCACTGTGTGTCTTCGACTCCTGCCTGCGTCACCCACTTTGCTGGTCCATGGTGGATCTTCGGATGACTCTTTGGATGGCTGCTGCATCATCTAACGCAGCGGCGGCTGCCAAGATCGATCGTCCGCTGCCTTTTGCCTTCAGACTGCTTCCAGCTACAGCTACAGCTCCAGCGTTGTCGTTTCGATCGATCGTCGATGGTTTTGGGTCTCCCAGGCTGTGGCCTCCCATACCCATCTCCATCTCCATCGCCATCGCCATCGCCATCTCCGACTGGGGACTGGGCTGTGACCGACCATTACCTGGCTTTTGGTCAATTGATGACCAGTTCGATTAGTTGTTGTTGTTGTTGCTGCTGCCTCGCTTGCCTCTCGGTTACAGCCTTTTAGTCTTTACACCTCCTTTTATTATTTTCCTATTTTTCGCCAACTGCTGTTGTGTTGTTGTGTTGTTGTGTTTCCATGTATTTAAATTGCCAACATAAATTTTATTCGCAATATTTGCTTTAATGAAGTTTTTTTTCGTGGCTTCTTCGTGGCTGATTTTGTTTTTCTTTTCTTTGGCTTTTGGGATGCTGCAATTGCGAATCATAAAATTGTAAATTGGTGAAAATTGTGCACAATTTGTTAGCTCACAAATGCAGAGACGAACGCGTAGAGATTCGCCCATTTGATGCCCTCAAAAAGATGGACTTCTGCTCAATCCTTAACCCCAAGAAGGCCTAGCCATAGTTTGATGGGATTTTAATATCCTTAAGCCGCTTTAGGGCGATCTCCCGACCTCCCGAAACAGGGCGGGCCTATCTAGGGACTATCTATAGCTGATAAAGATAAGGAAGAACAGCAGGCACTTGACAGTAAACAGCTGATGCACTAATCAAAGCTTTATGACTGAAATCCGAAAGGTTTTTCGGAACCACAATACAGCACTTTAATACAAAGTCGAGAAACCGGCCCTTAAAAAAGGGAATTCCTCTAACCTTTTGCATAGGTTTTATTTTTTTAAATTTAAAGTTAAATATTTTATTATTTTAGCCACAAATAAATTTAAAAAAATTACATAAATAA